GGAAAACGATGTTGATAATACCCACGGCCAGTCGGAACATAAGATACAATCTGGAAAGGGCAATCTGTCCATAGAAATGGATCAAGTACCGAAGATCTTAAAGCCGCTTGTGTCAGAATGGAACCCAGAGGGGTTCATTGTCTCTTTCAAGGTAACACTCGCTTCACTTTCTATGCTGTCGTTTTGACCAACATATTATATTTTCCCAGCTCGAGACTGACGAGACGATTCTGATACCGAAAGCCCAACAGGCGCTTGAGCGTTATGGGCACCAGGTGGTGATCGGAAACGATCTCCATAATCGTAAGTATCGGGTTGTGTTGATATCTCCTGTGGCGCAGGCAGACGCTACGAAGAAACTGGACGGAGTGGTCGTATCTCAACCGAAATATGAGGAATTTTGGATAGAAATTGATTCTCATCAACCAACCAACCATCCCAAAGAAATAGAGGAAGATATCGTTGAAGAATTGCTTAAACGGCACAATGCGTGGATTGAGGGTTCGTGCGCATGAGCAGGCAGGGGTCTGTTGTATGTAATGATTTATATATACTAGAATTATTGGCGAGGCATGTGCAAATATCAAGGATTTCTGAGCAAGACTCCATTCGACTACTGTGTAGTATTCTCTGTTCTAACCACTCGTTGAGGCGGAATGAAAAAATGATCTGAGCCAGGCTCGAACTGGCGACCTTCTGTGTGTTAGACAGATGCGATAACCAACTACGCCATCAGACCGATGGAAGACGTCAAATAATAAAGGGCCATTATGACTATCTCGTTGGCAGATATATTTGGTCTTGAAGAGTTCCTGCAAAAGGATGGACCGCCTCGCTGGTACCGAGGTTCTTGATGCCCTCGTCAGCGAACCATCCATCATGATATTGTAGTAGAGGTAGCCGATATACCCTTCGCTCACAGAAACCAAGCACCATTGCGCATTTGAGATCGTGGGTTCCTGCGTGCTGATACATGTATGAAGATTATGAATCATCTACGAGCGAATTTGTAGTGCGGGCTCAGTATCCACCACGCCAAGCTACCAGACTAGCAATGTCACCTCGCTTTACGATCGACACCGAGCAAGCCACGCGATATGACATAACAGTGCACGGTTTCAGGCTGTAGGTGACATGGGTGACATGGGCGACATGGGCGACATGGGAATAGACACGAGGACATCAAACTCATGCACGGTATTGTCGATTTGCCAGAGATGGAGGTGCATCCGCGTGGCGAGGATTGCAAGGATGAAAACTTCGAAACTTTATGAGGATACTCAGTAAGAATCCACGAAAGAAGATAAAGTGCATACTCTTCGAGGAAGGAGTGGTATGGGGACTAGTTGTGTGAAACATCAGTGATTCCATTACATAGAAGGGTATCAGTAGGGTTAAAGTTTCACGCACATCGGGAAATATCACTGGCACAAGGACGTTCAAGGCTGAGAAAACTTTCCGAACAATGATTATCACTGATGAGCATGGACAGATGTGTAGGTGACTCACATAGACCGCATGCGTAGTAGAATATATTATGCTTCACCAAGGTAGCATATAGAGGGTATCTCGTCGGCCGCCAGTTCCGTATGGCACGTATGAGCGTGAGGGAGACCAGTCCTGGGGAGAGCGTCAGTCAGCGTGCATTTCTAATGTATGTCGGTTCCCATGTACCTAGTTGAAACACAAACAAGAGAATGAACGGCAGGTATAATTGGACACTGCTCGAAGTCCGGTAACAACCTGTGATGCCTGGAATCCCTGGGATCGCGCTAGTCGAAACTGTGAGAGTGGAGTGAATATGTGCGAATACTAGTGGGGGAAGATGAGAGCACAGACAATATTGAGAAGTGGCAATAGCACTAAACCAGATGCCGATGAATGATACAATGATGACCTGACCAAGTTAGCGATCACCAGCTTGGGTGTGGTGAGGGCACGAGACTCACAAAAAAGGTTGACAGCATAGCCACGAGTACGATTCTATTGTTGCTCCAGAGTGCATATGTTCTGAGTACAAAAAAGCCTGGACGAATTGCATGAGGAGCACGTTTGTGTCGCGAGGAAGGAGAAATACATTCAGAGCAAGTGAGTGATATCACTGCAAAACCTAGGTGGAAATAATAGCGCTCAGTAAGAACGTGCGTGTAGCATGTGCCATACACGCACATGAGTAAATACTGATGAACATCTTGCATGCCTAGCCAGGTCATACAGTAAGTGTCGTCATCAGTGGAAGTCTGCTGCACGTTCACATACCTTGGAGTTCTCATTCGGTGTCAAGGTCACTAACCACAGCATGCCAAATCAGTATCAGGAGATGTGTGCTGGGAACGAACGCACGACATATGTCCGCAGCGATGAGGAAAAAGGGTACATATCGTGCAGTGACGTAGAGGCATTTTACCTTGGTCCAGCGCGACCGAAGTAGGAATGTCCACTTTGAACAGATTATTTTAAATATCAAAAGAAACAAACAGATTACTTGCCTCGTCGTGAAGTGAACAAATATAGTCATAGGTCTGGATTAACAGGTTTAATGGTGAACAGGAATAGATCTGGACAAGCGTACCCAGAATGTAATCAATGCCGCTGAGCCGTCACGTTAGAGTCAGAACGAAGATATTCAGACAGCACGCACTGCATATGTACTAGTGGCCACCCATGGTATATCAGTTATTATCTTGCTATTGATATTAAGGAAGCGACAAACCGCCAAGTACTGCAAAATCCTGGTTGCTGCAATGTCGTCAGCCGAATACTCCATCTACATTCGTTTGAGAGGTGGAGCTTAAGAAGATGGGTTTTACGCCCACAGCATGCACCTTGTTATCTCTTATGAGTGACTCGGAACTAGCCAGGAACCGATCAACGTGGTGGCGGTAGCGTGCTCAGAGGCGCAAACGCAAAACACACTACTATATATGGTTAGGTTGAATCAACTCAAACTCAAAGAAGGTGCCACTTGCATTAATTCGTACAACGTCAGTCCGCGCAGCCACCTTGGCACCATTTCCAAACCTCTGTTACGAATTGCATAAGCTGATACCAGAAAGAACTCGGGCTTAGTTCGAAAGACTAACCGCCGTAAGCCAGAGAAGGTTATTCGAAAGGTTGAGGCGCTCGGGGAATAAAAGACGGCCGTGGATGGAACCATGGACTGATCAAGGGATGATTGTGGATGAGTCAAAAGATACGTACAACAGATCTATCTTGATAAGGTCCCAAGCTCCTCCCATCCTCCTGTCCGAGTGGGAGATATCTCTTTTATGCGCACTGGAGCCTCCAGATCCGAGGACATAGGCTATCATTTCGGCGATACTGCGTGCGCCGTGACTCCATGAAAACGGCAAACTGTTTTCTCAGTCTTGTGTGTGCAGTGAAGGTGCTATAATTATAAGTTGATAGAAGAGCGAGTACAAGGACGTTGCGAGCAGCTTGACATCGCCAGAAGTATGGGCAGTATCAGAATATTGGCATGGATTCCACACGACTGCTGCTCTGATATGGCTTCTTTTTGATGGATGCGCGACGAATTTGATCTGGACCGGTGTGGAGATCCAGCGAAGCCGTTAGCTTATTCCAGTCACGGTCTACATAGCCCTCCGCGAGGCACATCCAGTGAATATGCTGTATGCTTGACATTTGACACCATGATAGCACTCACAAAGTTATCATTGCTTTTTGATCTTCAGGACTTGAAGACTCCCAAGTTGCACCATAGGCTGGGCAGCACGCACTTTTCGGTCAATATGACGGCTACAGGCTTGGATTAAACTCCCGTGTGTACCGCTCAGGTGTATAAACCTAACTTCGCGTCGGTCTCTACGTAGAATTGCGGCTACAGGTTAAGGATAGTTGGAAATTCGGAATCCGCCGAACATCATATGTGAGTTTGAAATTGTTTCAAGTCGTGACCTGGCAACAGCTCCAGGTGCGCATCATGAATCATGCACATGATCATGTAGCGGCAAGCACTGCAACATGGGCGTGTACGTCTGATTAGGATGATCAAACAGAGGAAATGCGCTTGCCATTGTAAGTCCCACTTGCATAGCTTCCACTTATCATATACTAGAACCACACATAGTCCAACAACACCTACGACCCTACTCAAACGCCCTTGATGATTTCATTATTGTTCACACGTTAGAGTCTTTGATTACAATCATTGGGCTTAATCACGAGTTAAACGTTCGTCGATACATCTCACCAGATCGCACCCCATAACAGAAAGGGTTCCTACAAGTCAAGTGAGCACATCCCAATTTTTACGACCAGTATATCGTACAGTTTACAGGTGACATGTTGGACATAGAAATAGTGTCAAGGGCCTCAGAGCCACTCGCGTGCCGGTTCATATGCCAGAGATGGAGGTGCATGCGCGTGGCGAGGATTGCAAGTATCAAAACCTCCAAACTGTATATATGTATTAGGGGTGTTGTCAGTGGGAATTCGCAACAGAATTTGAAGGTGCATACCCTTCGGGGATGAAGTAGGATACGGACTGGGTGTGCGCAACATCAATGATTCAATCATACTGAAGAGGGCTATTCACGCACGTAGTCAAGCAGCTTTGGAACAAGGACGTTTATGGCCGAGATAAGTTAATCATCACCGATGAGCACGGAGTGTGAGGGATATCAGCACTGGGATAGTATTAGTCAGCGCGTGCGTACAGTCCAGCTTCCTGCATACCCAGTTGGAACATGAGTAAGACAATAAACTGCATGAAGAATGAGAAACTACCAGAGCTCCGGTGACAACCTGTGATGTCTGGGATTACGCTATTCGTTACTGTGAAATTGAAAATAACATGTGCAAATACCAGTAGGGGAAGATGAGAGCACAAACCATGTGAGGTGATGGCATAGGACTCACAAAAATGGTGGACTATGAGTATGATTCTATTGTTGTTCCAGAGCGCGCATGTTCTGAGCACAAACAAGCCTGAGTGAATCAGATCAGAAGTACGTGTGTCGGAGAAAAGAAATATACATTCAGAGCAAGCGATTGATATAAGTCTGAGACCCGTGAGAGTAAAAAGCAACACTCAACAAGGAATATGCATCAAATACGGTGGGCGTACACGCGGTAAGTGTGCTACAAGTTCACATACATTGCGGTCCTCGTTCCTTGAGAAGTTCACTGAATACAACATGTTAATTCATTAAATGGGAGAGTTGTATGCTGGGAATTAACGTACTATATACTAGGTCCGCGGCGACGATGAAAAAGGGGACATATCGGGCAATGATATAAAGGGCTTTTACCTTGGTAAGGCGTGACCGAAGCAGGAATGTCCACTTGAATAATATATTACCAGTATCGAAGCCGCGTACTAACGGAAGATGGGCATTACTCACCTCTACGTGAAGTGAACAAATATAGTCATAGGTCTGGATAAACAAGTTTAACGGCAGACGGAAATAGATCAGGATAAATATACCCAGAATGTCGCCGCTATCAACGCTAAGCTGTCAAGTTAGAACGAGCAAGATGCAATTCAGACAGCACGCACTGCATATGTACTGGAGGCCGCACATGATAAATTTGATATCATCTTACTATCATGTCAAGAAAGCGACGTACCGCTGAGGGTTGCAGACTTCTGGCCGTTGTAATGTCGACCGATGGATATTCCATCTGAATTGGTTTGAGGGGGAAAATAATTGGGTTTCGCGCACATATTCGTCCGCCTCCTTATATACTATACAAGCTGAGAACCCATCCAGACCGGGGTATCTGCGGGGATACTGCTGGTGAGGATCATCATATCATCATCGTGATGGATCGTTTCACTGGCTGACTTACAGTTGATGTGGTCACAACTGCACCAGGTTGTGCACAACTCAATGAAAGTTACAGTTGGTCCCAGAAACATCGGCAGTTTCAGTGATAACATAAATTTAGATGTAACACGCCCAATGAGACAGATGTTTGGACATGAATTGATTATCAAAGTTGATTCTGACACTTACATGTACTCATCGTGCTGATTCTTGACCTGCTTGAAGTTCGGAACACCGTGATCAGGCCTTGAAACACACAGCCACCTCGGAGGGACTGTAACAGTGACTGGTAGTTATCTGACGAATGTCGTGTCGGTGAAAGCATGTATCAGGTCGACTAGCCGGTGAAGAGATCAGGAGCGGAGAAGGCTCTCCTAAAAGAGCGTATTAGAAGACGTAACTGTGGATCATGTGAAGTCGAATTCTGACTCGGAACGTATTGTGATGGGGGGTTTCTTCACTGACCTTGGGTATCTACAAACCGTTCAAGTCGGTTTTGCAATATTAAGATTGGATAGTACGTACCAAGTAGTGGCAAGCAGAGCCACCAGTCGTGCTCGAACCGATTCCTGACGAAGTGCACTTGAATTCGCACTTGCTTCGGGATATTTGGGCGTTGGGACGAGAACATACAATCTTCGTTGTCGCACCAGTCAAGCATCGTACTTGAAAAGACCGTGTCATCCGGAAACGCAGGAGGATGCTTCGTCTGCGTCACAATGCTTTGAAAGCCCGAGCAAAGATCTTGGTCCTACATGACTCAAAGCGACACCCATGGGTATACCCTTCAAGACTGGTGTGATTGTATTATTAGGCGCAGGACCATCGACAATCAAAAATACCTCCGGCGGCCGACTCTGTCATGGCCGGCAGGTCATACGAGGTTTTCGGGTTGCACTGTCTGCCTATCGGAGTCAAGCTTGGATCAAGCCGCAGCTAACTTTGAGTCGGAACCGGACGCATCAATGTAGTGGCTCTAAGCAAGGTCTAAGCAAAGGCACTAGTACTATTGTGATCGGACAAGTCGGTCCAAGTATTGCTCAGCAAGCCCGATTTGTACCTGTACTTCACAAGGACTGGCCATGTAGCAGTGTCATAGTTGTGACGAGTTTAAAAAATCGACACACATGAAGAATCCGTGTCTATTCTTCCACTGAACCTCTAGTCCCATCATCATCGTGCTCGCCGTCATCGTTATTGTCGCCGCCGTTGTAGCCGCTCACGCGTTCATATCCGAAATACATAGCCTATTGTGATACCCTAGACGCCTCAGGCTGCACAGCAAGCTCTCACCACTATGTCCAACTCGCCTCCACCCGTAAACAATTCCTATGACCCTACAAACGCTCTCGATGATATCCCAGGTCTTCACTGGGCCCTCCATGAGTTCCTTCAATCTCGCATGCACGAAAGCGAACGATTCTGTGAACAAAGCGATCCAGAAAAGTACGTACTTCCGTCTCCATCACTCCCACACGAGAAGCTGAGATCAATACAGACAGAGATTGTACTTTGCGACTGGATTTGGGCTTATTCAATGTGTGAAAGGTCTCATGTCTTTTGAGGATAAGGTTCGTGTTCTAATGATGTTGCTAGTACTCATATACTAATATTAACTCATAATTTGGGTTTCAGGATCTCTTGGCTGCCATCAATCATACCAAGCGTGGTATCGCTGTAGCTTCTGCACATCGCAAACGCCCAGCCAGCTTCGCAGGTCGTCTTGCAGGGTATATCGTGCCCGCATTCAGTACTAGTGGCACAGAATGGATCGCCGGTATGACGCCTGTGGAACGTCATGCTGAACTCGTCTATGCAGAGAGTCTCTATCAAAAGGTGCGTCGACTGGCAAGACCGTGTGTCTTGGGTGGTGTACGCGTTCTGGGGGTTAGCTGATACTGCAATAGAGTCTTCTTGGGATAGTCTATTCAGGCGATTGGTTAGCATTTATCCGTGAGGTGTACGTGCTCCGTCATTTATCCCTCTTTTCTCGCTAATACCTAAGTACCGCAAACGCTCAGACTCAACATGCGCACCACTATTTCCATATACCGTCAACTGGGTAAATGGATCGAGACAGTGGACACGGCATACGCTATCGCCCACCCCGAATTACTAGCTGCCATCTCAACACCCGAAAGAGGAGGAGCAGATGTCGAAGAAACGCCACCACAGTCATCCAGCACGAGTTTTGCAAGCGCTAACTCGTCCTCCATCGCAGATTCACCTCTCCCTTCCCCCAAACACACGTCTACACAAGATACCACCTCCCCACCATCCGTCACACGTCCATACCTCCCCTGCCCATCTATAGACCCTCATTTCCGATCTGGTGTATACCTAGGCCTCGGTATGTCCCATCTCGTGCTCAGTATGATGCCGGGAAAACTCCTCGCTCTGGTGGAGTTGTTTGGATATAAGGGCGATAGGAAGTTTGGGTTGGAGTTGCTGGAGAGGGCTGGGGGGTGGGGTGCAAATGGGAGAGTGGTCGAGAAGGGTGAGTGGTTACGGTCCCTGATCATGTTTTGGTATTGTGAGTTGGGAGCAAGAAGTACTGATATACTTGCTTACAGAGGCAGAAGGAGTCCGACGTGCGATCTGCGATATGTCGCTACTCATCTTCCACCTCGTCCTCTCGGCGTTCACGTTTGAAGGCGTCGATGTGCGCAAGGCTGCGAGAATATTGGAGTGGAATCTGAAGAGGTATCCGAATGGTGCGTGTTCTGTTTTGGGAGGTTGTGTGTTCTGATGAGTGGTTGTGTTTTCTCTCTCTTTCCCCTTCTATTCCCCCGTTCCTCGCCCGATACTCCAACCCCCTCTTTAATCCCCACCACCACCAAATAGGCGTCTTCTTCCTCTTTGGTGCAGGCCGCCTTGCCCTCGTTCGTTCCCAACCCTCAAAAGCTCTCACCTACTACGCACGCGCTGCCCAAGCTCAATCACAGTATCGGAATTTACACCATATTTCGTGGTGGGAGAGTGCGGTTGCTTGTTTAGGGCTTTGGAGGTGCGTGTTCTTTTTGGTACAGGGGTGATGGGTATGTGCGCGATACTGATATTGGTCTTGTGCAGAGTTGCGGACAGTAGATTGTGGTGGGGAAAACTTGGAGGCGAGGCTACGGTGGGTTTCTATTTCCCCTCTTGCGTGTCTGTGTTCATTTGTTTACAAATTTTTCCCATCCCTCGATTATCATTACCTCGGTGCATTTAGTGGTCCAAAGCGACATATACATATGGCGAAGCAGCATGCTTAGCCACGCTCGGCAAGCACGCAGAAGCGAAGAAGCTTATGGAACGCGTCCAGGGGCTGAGGCAGAAGATCGCGGGGAAGAGCATTCCTATCGAGGTACGTCCTTGTTTGATGTCTCCTCCCTTTCATCTCGCTGTCCACCTCAAACTCTTCTCCGCCCTACCAAAAAACAACTCGACGCTAACCAAACATACAGAAATTCGTCGCCCGCAAAGCCCGTAAATATCTAGCCCAATCTGACACACTTCTCCTCCCAGCTCTCGAGCTAGCTTATGTATTCCATGCGATCGCGCATGCGCCCAGGGAGGTTATTGTGAGGGAGATGATTCCTGCTGTAGGTGATGCTTTGAGAGAGCTGGGGTTAGCGCTTTCATCTGAGAGCGAGGGTGGTGCCAAGGCAAGTGGGGCGAAGAAAGGCAAGGACAAGAAGCTGGAGTCGCGGAGTGGGTATTGGGATGATGTCTGTCTTGCGCGTTTCTTAGAGGGCGTGTGTTGGCGATTTGTTGCGTATCCGGTGCGTTTACCTTTTTTGTGGTAACTTTCGTGTTTGTGCCTTTGGCCTCTTCCTTCTTTCTCGCTCTGGGAGTCTATCCTCGTTGACACGTCCCTCTCGTTACAGGACCCGGATGCTGAACTCGAGCCTGATGAAAAGATCACTGTCTCACCAGAGGATGCGCGCACGTACTCGGAGCGCGCGTTTCGTGCTGTCTTCGAGCACGGACCTGACATCGAGTTGGACCATTACATCGTGTATTACGCACGTGAGTCTGTCTTGTTATGTCATTCGGTGAGAAATTGCCGACACTTTTATCATAGATTTCGAGTATGGTAGGCTGCTAGCGCGATCAGGCGACAAGGACGGTGCGAGGACGCATTTTGATCTTGTTTTGTCGGGAAAGCCGCTTGAGGTGAATGCTGCGGGACGGAAGGTACGTTGACACCGACACATGCGTTTCGTCGATAATGCCGTTTAATCATGTTGCTGATGTATGTCACTTTTTCAGGGTAAATACAGTTTAGAGGTACGAAAATAGGAGTGAATGAATGTAACTGACACTTACGCTCCCATCATTACAGAACGCACTTCACGTGAGGACGAACGCGGCGCTAGAAGCATTAGACCAGAACCGACTGTTGTAATACCCAGGACGACGGACCCAGTTTGAAGAGATATATATTCGTATATCTATCGATACACGCTGAAGCGCTGACTTTCCGTGTGTTTTCTGCTTGCTTACTATTGGGCGATACCTGTATACCTACTTTATATTATTTGTTACGCCTGATGAGTCTGGCTGAGCTGGATTACAACCTATGACTGTACCTTTTGAACTTTAATGACATTTACTGACCCACCGTACATCCACACTCACTGAAATGTCGAACACTCTGAGCTTCCAAGATGATATAAAAAGTAATATCCTTCAAAGCCGGCAATGGTGTAGAAGGTGATGGAGTGCTCAAGCGCTAAGACGAGGAGAGTAGTAGTTGTTATTGTTGATATACGTTAACCTACAGGAATAGATACTTCCTAGTTGACGTGGACACCGGCTGATCAACCGAAGTACTTAGTCGTCTTAAGTTTCACGGCAATTAAATTTGAATTAAATGTTAGCTAGTCCCCAATTGGCTATCGGGCCCGAGTATTTTTAAATTAGAGACACCGAATCCGAGCCTTTGATGTTCCCGTTCTTCGCCATGTACAGCCTTGTGATGGCAAACGAAGATTGTGGAATATTAATTCCTGTATGAAATCCACCTGGTTACTTCTATTAAAGAACCCACATGTCTGTGCCATGCGGACTGCAATTCTGTCAGAAGAATCACCTCTGCCTAGGGCGGTCACCAGATACCACTTGGGAAGATTTTCCAAATATAACTATTAGGATGATGTCGAGTACGTTACTTACTTTGAACTGATATAGCACATCAATGTCAGTGTCCGGACTTCAGATTGTGGTATAGTAGCTCACCTCTATAGGGTTGCGACTGCCAGTACGAACTTAATATTGCGGCGAACTCATGCTTGGCCGAAGACGATGACGAATATAGTAGTAGATGGGCGGTCAAGCTGTAAATCGTAATTACGCGTAGTATTTAAAGTGAATCTTGATCCTGATAGCTTATCCGAAGCCGCCTCGGGCACTTCTATTTCATACCCGATCCTGCCGCCGCGGCACAACTCCAGTTAGTAGAAATGCCTGCCTTGCGTGTATCATGATGGGACACACGTTCCAATCCCTCTCTCCCTCAAGCCATTTTTCCTGTCAACATGTCTCCCTCTGTGTTTGAAGCTAGTCAGCTTCGTGAGTCCCTCTATGTTTTTTGTACTGTCTTTCAACTGAGTGTCTGGTAGCGCACCAAAATCCCGTTGGCCCGTACACCTATGTGCCTACGGAGTGGATATGTGTCCTGGTGAGTGGTCTTGTTCAGACGTCTCGCATCTACCTCAAATCGCTCCCTTAGTTCCTAGTGTTATACAGTATTTCGACTAGTATGTTTTTTTTTCACTGTCGACAGTGCACGATCATGACTTGATACTTTCAGTCATCCACTTGAGCCAGGCAATCAAGTTTAGACTCTGGTGGATGCTTCCAACGGCGACTTTTGCCGGTGTCCTCGAAATACTAGGATGGAGTGCCAGGCTATGGTCTAGCCACAGCCCCAAGCTTCTGACGCCTTATGAGATGCAGTACGTGTTCATCCATTAGAAGTACCTATTCGCAGGCCCGCTCAAGCGTTTCCACTGCAGGCTTGTCGGCACTATCATCGCACCTACTCCCCTTGTTGCTGCCAACTTTATCATCCTTGGCAAGATAATCAACCAAGTTGGACCCCAGTACAGCCGTCTAACCCCCAAGCTATGTTAGTGTTGCCCTGATGTTCCTGGCAGTTCAGTTACTGATCTGGTGCAGATACCATCATTTTCTGTTGCTTCGTTAGTACTATCATACATTCAAGCTGTGTTCGTTGTTCATATCTTCCCATCTCTTAGGATGTTATCTGTTTGATCGTACAAGCTTTCGGAGGCGCATCCGCCGCGCACGCCGTTAGCCAGGATACAAGCGCTGCGATGGTATGTACATCATCCATTATTTCGTGTAGCAATCTCATCATAGAGATAGGGCGCGAACATTATGTTAGGAGGAATTGCGGCTCAGCTCTGTACGTGACAAGGGTCTCAATTCTCTCGCTCGCATTCCTGACCTTTGCTCTCTAGTTGCTATCGTGGTCTATGTCACTTTGGCATCCGAATTTTTCTTGCGTTTGAAATACAATTCGCCCTTCCGCCACGTTGAGCAGCCCCGCGTATTGGAGAAAGGTCAAAGTGCTGTGAGCAAGAACTTGCGAGTTCTGATCTGTGCTATGGCATTCTGCACTCTCTGCATCTTTATTCGGTTAGTGCCCAAGATGTCTTATCTGGGATCATTGATATACTCAATTCGTCCTTAGTTCTATTTACCGTACTGTAGAGCTCGCCGGTGGGTGGTTCGGGCCAGTAATCACCACTCAACACTACTTCGGTACGTTATCATCGGGTTTCGCCAGCAATAAGTTTATAACGCTTATAATCGATAGATTGGCTCGATGGAGCCATGGTCACTCTTGCTATCTACTCTCTTAATTTCTTTCACCCGGGTATGTGGCTGAACAAGGAAGGACCAACTGGTCATGATTTAGAACAAGCCGACGAAGAAGAAGAAGAAGCTGCTGACGAAGAAGCTGCGGCTTAGGTTTCAACGATTACATGCTTATATTCGTTCTGCTCACCATTTATCTATGAGCTTGCTAGCACTTCTAGGATTACTCTTACTCGGACGGTTATTGGCATGTTACCTTACAGCTATGTCTGTTTTTGCACCGCTTATCCCTACTCAATGATGTAGATAATGCATTGTTGACGTTCTATACCCATCGTTCTCACTGAAGCTGAAGCGTTAAGTTAAAAGTTAATTGTATGTGGCTGTGCCCCGAAGAGATGATGTCATCTTCGGTACTTCTGAAACTTCCGCTCATCCATGTCGCTGCTTTGCATATCCGCTAGCAGTCATGTTTTATTATACTCTTCTCGACTATTTTCACAACTATTGTCACTCGAAAAGCCAAGTGAAGATCCACATTTCATCCATTTATAATTTTACTATGCTCCGTAACTTCATCAAGAGTATTGTCAACTCATCGTTGAGTTGTGTAGAAAAGCTGCGTGATAGAAAAAAGGTAAGTCATTGAACTCTTGGTTATCGCAAACTTCTCATCCTCGCTAGTTTGTTCATAGCGATCTCCACAGTCGTCCGTGCGGGGGGACCGTGCTATCAGTCTCTCCTACACCCCTTCCTACCCCAACTCATCACTTCTCAAACACCGACACTCCTCTAACTTCGATTATAGATATAGAGGATGCTGTTTGTCGCGGACAAATGCCCTCTCGGATTGGAACACCCACTCTCGAAGGGATGCCCGATGAAATACAATGCCATATTCTCGGGTTTCTCTCATATAATGAAATTATACGATGCGCTTTGGTGAATCATCTATTCATTTATATCTTTCGAACTCATGTACTGATCTGCCCTTCACAGACCTGCCTGACACTATACAACACAGTCAAATGCTCTGTTGAGCTACAGTACATCATCGAACTCGGTGCTCAACGGTTGATCGAAGTACATCCGCGGTCGCCTACTGCCTCTTTAGCAGACTGCTTGACCATCCTCAGAAAAAAGGCAAACGCATGGAACAATTTCAAGCCCATTGCTACGGATGCGTTTCGCGTCAAGACCTTGTGCGACTTGAACTCGGTCGTTCATCGAAACATTATCTCCTGTACGCCGTCCGTGCATGTCGATGCTGCGTCCAACACTGTGGATATCAAGACCAACAGCACGTGTACCGCTAAAGTCGTGATGAATCCCAATCCGGTTCCTCATACGTACAGGTACATGGACGAGTCGCAAGATATCGAGGTCATCATTACATTTCCGATCGATGCGGACTCTGATGGCTTCAAGTACCGAATATCCTTTCGTTCGATATCAACCGGGGAGGAACATCCTTTGTCTCATGGATCTCGTGTGGTGGGAGGTAGAGCTGCTTGCAGCGAAGCTCAGTTCATCAAAATTGCTGTCGCTGTCTTTGATGATCGCCTCGCAGTCTATATTGCCGGGCTCGACGAAAATAGGGGCCCGTGCTGGTCGCTGCACGTTTTGAGTTGGCAACGACCTGGTCAAGCTGATGTGAGTGTTTTCTTCTGTCTTTCGCTGTCTGTTTGATTTGAGTACTTAACAGGACTTGTGTGTAATCGGCGATGGAACTGAGTTGCTGGACATACGTTTTCTTGTGAAGGAGAAGCTTATAGCTCTTTCGACAGATGGTCATATACACCTCTACGACACCGAGGATCCATCAAAGGCGCCGCGGCTTCATGCAAGATTTATGATGCCCGTCCATGGCAAGTTGGGCGTATTCGATCACCCATCAAATTTTCATAGTGCCACAAGCTGTGCAGACCTCGCGGTACCAGTCGACCATTGGATCTGGGCAACAAACCCTGCAGATCGAGTCATATCAGTGACATGGGCCGATCCTTCGTCGATGTACATCGTATCTGCTCGCATATTTTTCATGGACGTTCCTTCGACATGGTTTGACGCGACGTCAGAAGATGGACGGTCAGTCAAATGGTCATCATGGGGTCCACAAAACTCTCGTCTCGTCCCTGATGAAAGGTTCGGCATGCAAAGACGGTGCTTTTTTGGAGTGGGAGGATCTCGTGTTGTATGGGCTGGTCCTGTCGCGGATCGAAGTGATTCGTCGTTCCAGTTGTACATGACTGATTTCAATCCCTCGGTTGTGGCGCGTGGTATCGGCCAGGTGGTTCGCGGACCTACGACATCGGTAGGTCTTCCATCGGACATGCAGGTGTCGACGTACCTCCCTTTCGTGGAGGTGGCTCATGATATAGCTTTCGATGCTCCTCTTTGGGATATCAAACTCGACGAGGAGACAATGGTGGTGTTCACCCGACCAACGATTGAGTCCGTGAGTGTATTTCTGTATTTCTGGCTCACGAAGTTCACTATCTCACTTGATATATCAGGAGTGGAAAATGCAAGCTGACGTCTTCGAAATGTAGTCGATATTTCATTGTGGTCGTACGCGTTGACCAGAGATTGTCCATCATTATGCCATTGAAACCTACCTGTCGCGCACCTTGATGTATACTAAGGGCCCAATCTCGAGTCATGTATCAGTCGAATATACCATCTCTGTCGACAAACCTATTCAAGTTTAAGATGAATTGACTGCACTGTACTTGAATACTGATCGTCCGCTCAATCGCCACCACTTCCAGCGTAAACTGCACTCCTATGAATATTACGTTAGGGGCTATTAACTAACTAAATTCAGGTCACAGGTTGTACTGGGAGGTGCACCGGTGATGCGCCACTTGATGGAAAATCAGAGTTAGTGTCAGAAGCATTCAAGAATATAACCATGAGCGTTACCCTATTTGGCCGCAAAACGCACCTAGCACCGGTCCTTTGCTTGAAGCTTGCCTTTAAGTTTGAAACAATATCAATTCCTGAAACGCCATCAGTCCTCGGAACGCTCACATTTCCACGAGGAATGCTCATTTTCTTTTGACCAACCCTAGCTGTTTTAGACGCACGCTTCTTGAGATAAGCCGGCTTTGATATGCCCCTAATGATCATTTCTGAAGTAAGCTAATGCGTTCTCGTCTGTGAAGTAGAGATATCCAAAGGAGAATGGTCAGCGGTAGCGAAGAGGACTATAGTCTTCGTTTGACTCACGACTGATCTGATAGATATCGCTGGAGCAAAGGCCATTTTGTTGAGCCCGGGAGAATGTAATGTATGCGACCAATCCCGATTTAAAGATAGGGCGTCGTCATCTCCCTGTCGACGAACTGATTCAAATTAGTCGACGTGGTTGAGTCGGTGGAGCAAATTATGTACTTACCTCGTAGTTGACTCAGTCCCTTTGACATGGGTCACGACGTTTCGAAGGCCTGAGTAAAGCTGTCATTTGGGTAGCCCTCTCCTCCCAAGTTCCGTTCAACGATGAATGGGGACAATGGGTATTTCATTATCACGTTGGAGGGCGTGGTTTGCCCATTGATGTTATTGTTTTGCACAAAACGGCCATTATGAATATTGGTATTCAAGTTGTCGCCTATGCCTCCTGAGTCGCGAGATCAACCTGTTCAAGCTGGTGTAGTCATACCACATGAATGAGTCGAAAGAGCCCATTCGTTGTCTCTGTTTGCGCAGTTTCTCAGAGAAGAGTGAAAGTTCGTGGACCGGTAACCAGTTTGCCTGGGTGGATTTGGAGAGATTCTTGTCAAAATGCAAAGGTATGCTGCTACTACGGTAATCGCAATGTAGTGGTCGAGTTGTGATCAACCAGACATGTGCATTGTGCAAGCTTGGGGAGCTTCAGTCGAAACCCTGCGGATTGATGATGATTAGTAAGTCGTTACAATTTCATACCTGAGCTAATTGGAGATTGACTGTAATGGTATATTTGCGTGATGATATGGCAGCTATGCCATATAGAATGATTGCCATAATCAACAGAAACCGGGTCTGAATTTCTGAAAGACCATATGCAAGGGAACTGGAGGAAAGGGCTAAGAAACACCGTGAGAACTTGGGGATGCCGCATGTCTGATATTTCGGCATCGACACCCAAGTTCCTTGTGCCTCTGCACGTTGGTTCAAGTTCTCTCTATGGAATTCGAATATAGATCATAATTCATCTCTTCGTACTTGATGCAGTTCACGGGGAACGTAGCGCATGAGGATTTACGCTTAGTAAAGTAGCTGTCCGCACCACCTCCATCATTCACATGATTGGAGTCCACGTCCATCTCCAACGAGATACGCTTCTGGTGATTCTCTCTTCACCCTGTTTCTTTCACCATTGACTCGACAGTCACTCTGCACTTTGTTCCCTAGAATACAACCCCTCCCTCTCGTCGAAGCTCCACATTCAGATGTTTACTGCAATGGTCCGCTCCTGTAACCTCTGCCATTTTGCAGCCTCAAGCCGCACTAATTTCAATAACCATGTCCTTGGCCAAAGTTAGGCTCGTGACCGGCCTGGCTTGTCTAGGCCAAAGTATGGTCCTGTCACCTTCAAGGCTTCCGGACTTGCCAGCCTATCCATGCAGTGCCACGTATAATGGATATTCCTCTTCCGCAGGGTTCAGTTCCTTATCTCTCGGCGGCGAGTGAATCCGGTGGCGGTCACAGTTTCCTCAATACTTCGTTCGTCAATCATCGACATCCTTCGACGAACGAGAATACAATTGGATGCATTCTCGCCTTATTCTTTCTTATTCCTCGCTGCAGGCAAGATCATCCTTTCCCCATGGCACTGTCAGTTCAATTGGACCAGTTGTATGTAATCATTCGTCTTTTCTTTGCGCGCCGTTTTCAGCGATATAGACATTTTTGGCTTCGTCATTACCTCACAAAATATACTCAATTATACATTTTACCTTTGCGTGCTAACTGAGTAGTACGATACGAGTCCAGGAGCAGCAATCACTCTGAGACTCGCATGTCCCTTTCAACGTTGGCAGACTACTTTCGCCGCAAACAGTTCATGCCATTCTCTGCTTTAGCACAGATTCTTCCGCTAATCCTGGTCGGTGATCTCCATTTCCAGCGCTTGTGCGATCATACCAGCGTCTATGGTGCCAAACATCCACCGACAATATAGAAATACACGTGCAGCGTGACCTGAACCCTAGGCCTCAATCTCCCACTTAGCCGAACTCTATCCGCAGTCCCCATATCATCACCCCCATTTTCCCTTTGCATTGATCCCGCCCACCATTCTACCCATCATCGATCCTCATCAATTTGCTCCATCGCAACATCATGCCCGGTAGCTCGGAAAGTCGATACATCAGACTTGAAGGCGAGTTTCTTCATATTATCTTCGTATCTGTTTCGTGATCCTCACACTCTATGTATAGTCATCAGCGGAAAGAATCTTCGAGTCCCCTCCTGGCGCATTCCCGCTGGCATTTACGTGTCCATCAATGTCGACTACAGGAGACGCTGGAAATCGGCCATTAGTGTCCTATCATCTGATGAATCTGTAGCGTGGGGGGATACCGTAACTCTGTAAAGTCCATGGACATCTTCTGACGTGATGCGAGAACTGATGATTGGTTTATAGACCGTCAAATGCCTCGCCTGCATTGTCAATAGAGATCAGGACTTCCTATGAGCTTGGTCGAATGCTAGGCGGTGGAGAGGTCATCGGGGAACTTCAAATGTCGTGGGATGAGGTACTCGATCATGGAGATCACCCATTTGGTGGGTGATTCGCTTCCATTCATGTGCATATACTAACATCTCGTAGATCTGTCTTTCCCAGCCGTGCGCGATGTCCAACCTTCTATCACACTGAAGGTTGCTGTTGTACATGCTTGGGACGATCAAATTGGCGCACTGTTTGATGTGAGCGACCCCAGACTCTGTTCGGTTAGTTTTGCTGACGGAACACCAACTATAGTCCCTCGTGGACTGCGAGATTGCTCGAGACGCAGATGCGGGCCACGCACAATTTGCCTCATACATGAAAAGCAAGAATGTCTCTCACTTGAACGATGCTATGGAGCATTTTCAGTTGGTTTTGAACCAGTGTCCGGTCGGCCATTCGGACCGCGCAGCGGCTCTCACCAACCTCGCGTGGGTTCGCCTTCAAGGTTACATCCGAAATGATGTTCAAGACATTGATACTATCACTTCCCTGTTCCGCGACGTCCTTGCATTGCGTCCGCAGCCCCATCCCGATCATCCCTTATCTCTATACAATCTCACCGAAGCGCTTAATTGGCGACACGACAAGAAAAGTATTGCTGCAGACATCTGCGAAGCCGCCCAACTGTATCATGAACTATTGCCTCTCTGTCCAGAGGGCACGTACCTTCGTAGCATCGCAGCAGGGGGAAATGGTGTTGATTATGTGATCGACGAATGCAACGTTCTTCCAACAGATGCATCCGATGAAGGCATCCACCTTCGAAGAGTCGTGCTCAAGCTCTGTCCTCTGGGCCATCGACTTCGTCCCAGAACCCTCGACGAGCTTGCACGAGCAGTTGAAGCACGGTTTTGTCAGCACGGCAGCATCGATGATCTTGACACGAGCATACGGCTTTGGCGTGAAGCCGTGTCTCTGTGTCCCGAGGGACATGTTGATCGTGATACCTGCCGGAACAACTTGGCTTATTCACTCATGTCCCGCTTTAAGCACCAAGGCAATACTAATGATTTCGACGAGGCCATCTCTTTGTATGAAGAAGCACTGCACCTGTGCCCTGTTGGGCATGGATCTCGTGATCAGTTATTGGACAACCTAGGGAGCGCCCTCATCTTCCGTTTCAGCAAATGTGGCAACATTGATGTCATCACCCGCGTTATCAGCCTCTATCGTGAGGCACTGACGTTGCGCCCACCTGGGCATCCACGTCGTTACGCCACGCTTAACAACCTTGCCCTCGCGCTCAGAACTAGATGCGACAAATCGTATGTGAGTGAGGATCTTAACGAGGCCATTGATCGGTGTCGCGAATCCCTTCGGCTTTACCATCCAGAGCGCTGGAGAACTCTTTTGAATTTGAGCTCGGCACTCTGCTCTCGTTCTATGGAAACTCAGAAGAAAGAAGATGTCGAGGAAGCCATTAACCTTTGCCAAGAATCATTGGCGGTCCTGTCCTCACTGCACCCGGACAGGTACTTCAGTTATAAGTGGCTGCAGGGGGCCTATTTGTCTCGTTACCGGATTCTACACGACCCTGCTGATTTGTCGCTTGCAATAGAGAACTTTAGACTCGCATCAAGACATTCTACTCAAGGGTTGCCAGAACGGATCGTTCGCTCATTTAATTGGACCGTTGCAGCAGAGCAGCATGGTCATGGATCCGCGCTGGAAGCCTACTCGACATTTTTTGAGCTTCTGGATGCTCATTTGGCAACACGGTCTTCGGCAACTTCACGGCGCGAAGCTGCCGTTGCCTTTCATGACGCCAGAACGCTCCCAGCAGATGCAGCATCATGTGCCATCCGCTGTGACAATCTACCACATGCAGTTGAACTTGTGGAGCAGGGCCGTGGCCAGCAATGGTCGCTGGCCTCCCGACTCAGGACTCCAGTTGAAGCCCTTGAGTCAGCGAATCCGAAACTGGCGCATAATTATTTGGAGCTGAGCAAGCTCGTTTCGAGTGCGGCCCAGAGTTCTGCGACAATCACCGACAGAGCTGCTGCTGATCGGGCAGCAATGGAGTACAGGAAACTTACAAGGCAATGGGAAGCTGCGGTTGCTCAAATACGTGATCTTCCGGCGTTTTCGCGGTTCCTGCTCCCACCTCTGTATGCAGACCTGCAAGCGGCAGCGCGCCAGGGCCCGGTCATCATCCTCATTGCGAGCCAATACTCATGCAGCGCCATCATCGTCCCGACGTCAGGAGACCCCCATCATGTTCCCTTGCCATCTGTCACTCTCGCAGATCTGACCAATCTCAAGGACCGCTTCGCCAGGGCAATACGACACGCATCTACCATTGGCCCCAAAGTGCCGCGAAATGATCTAATAGTCCTCTTGCGGACCGTATGGGATGAGATCATGCTACCCATCGTCAACGTCCTCCGGCATGACCTGAAACTAAAATACTGTCGAATCTGGCTTTGTCCAACTGCAGCTTTCACATCTATTCCTCTCCACGCAGCTCACCCGTTCCGAACGAACTCAGATGGCTCTAAGGAGAAATGCTTGGAGGATTTCTACATCTGCTCTTACACCCCGACAATTTCGGCTCTGGTCAGATCTAGACAGATGATGAAGAAGCGCGTCACTCCATCCTTCGTGACAATCGGCCAAGGTCAACCGGGTTCAGGGAAAGGCAAGGCGCTCTTGGCTGTCGACAGCGAGCTCGAGCTTGTCCATAAGCTCGTCCCTGCGACTGTCAACCGCACTACTATTTCTGGCGACGCAGCCACACGAGCAGGTGCGCTCGAAGCTTTGGAGCAGAACACCTGGGTGCACCTTGCTTGTCATGGGAAGCAAGACCCTAAGCAGCCTTACGACTCCCATTTTGTCATGAGAAACGAACATTTGACGCTGCTCGATATCATGGAAAGAGATATTCCACACGCCGAGTTCGCGTTCTTATCAGCGTGTCATACCGCCGTCGGGGATGAGGAGACACCCGACGAAGTAATTCACCTCGCAGCTGGTCTTCAGTTTTCGGGGTTCAAGAGCGTCATTGGGACGCTGTGGCAGGTCGACGACTCTGTCGCCAAACACGTCGTCAAAGCCTTCTATGAGAACATGTTCCTAGATTTGAAGGATGGAGGTGTGATGGACTGTACGAAGGCGGCCTGGGCGCTGAACCGTGCTACGCACGCCGTGAAGACGAAAGTTCCGCTGGAGCAGAGGATGGTTTTCGTTCATATTGGTGTGTAGTTCTACAACGTCGTATTTCTGTCGTGTGGTACATATTCACAAGTTGTTGATCTGCGATCTTCTTTCTTACTGTTGTAAAAAATGAGCTTAATATGTTCTTGCACTCTAGCTATAACCTTTCTCGTTTTCGTATACTCTGTTGTATCGTAGTTGTCGACTAGAATGTTCACCAACGCTCTTGTGTACTCAAGTCATTTGCAGCCTTGTCTTCTGCTTGAGTAATTGGACAGTGGAATTTGGGCCAGTCAAGCTTACCAATTATACTAGGGATCCTCCGACCTACGACATCGATAGGTCTTCCATCGGACAAAGTTGTGATCCCCTGTGACGGGAGAGGGCAGGATATGTTGAGATGCGACCCTGAGAAGAAAAACACATATGAACGTATCTTTCCCTGTAGCCGGACGAAAACCATTAGCCGGGGCACTGACGGTCCCTGGCGCTCCCATGAGTCGAAAACATATACAGGCAGGCATATTGTAGCTAATATAAAACTGAAGGCGAAACCGATATACGTAGAGGAGAGCGGCGCGACCCTTACTCGGATGTGGGAAGCTGGTGGGGAGGAAGAAAGGTGAGGTCGTAGCTTGCAATGATATATTTGGGCTTCGCGAGACAAAGGCTGCGCTCAGTGATGCGTTTGCGATGCGCAGTTTGCACTTTACATTGCAAAGGTAATGTGGAAGAGATAAGAAAGGAACACATACTGACACATTACTAACTTAGTACGGTAATTCACACCTCAACATATCCTGCCCTCTCCCGTCACAGTCAGTTTTCACTGAGTGTGATCAACCAGACATGTGCGTTGTAGAGCTTCACTTCTAGAAAAATTTAAAATTGCAGGCAAACTCCGCTACAAACACGTAAAACTCTCAGCCACGGACAAAGGAGATATACATTGCGGTGAGAGTAGGCACTTGTATACTATGCATACGCTTGTCAGGTACTAAGTCGAATCAAAAGAATGCTATCCCAGAGCCTCATGTCACGGTGCTGTTCCGAACCCGAGTCGGATCAATTGAACAATTCAGACAAGTTCGACAAGCTGCCGCAGGATTTGACTGACTAACCTAACTCCCAGCCTGACCTACCATTGAATAGAACGGAATGATTGGTTATTGTGTATACTATCATTCTACGAGACGGAATCCAATCGGACCGTGTGGGCAGAACATTGCTGTTATTTGTTCAGGCTTCCTACAATCACTCATGACGACAGTCCGTACTCCACGTGCACCCCCAAGGCGGTACCAACAGACTAATCGAGCTTCCTATCAACTTCCTACTATCACTCATGACGACAGTCCGGTACTCCACATGCACCCCCATTGGAGGCGCATCAGCCCTTTTTTTGGTACCAACAGACTAATCCGATATGAAATTCGCTTGTGTGTCACAATCTATAAGGCACACCGAACCGTTGAGGCCATCCCTCAGACCCCACTATTATCACCCCATTTATGGCACCTCCTGACACTGCACCGATCTCGCCCTCGAAGGAGCATGTTGAGTGCAAAGAACTCGATGTCGACGTAGAATTCGGTGATATAGAGGCACGAAACAAGCTAGAGCGCAGGTTGTTATTGAAACTCGACCTGCACATGTCAATGCTGGTCCTCATCTTTATCCTCAATTTTGTGAGTAACCTCACATCAAGGCACCTGATATATTTCTCATTCTTGTACTAGATCGATCGAAACAACGCTAGGTATGCCCTTGTCGTGAATCGCTGATGCATCATTCACAACAGATTAAGTGCGGCACGCACACAGCTCACCGCCGACCTCCATCTCGAGGGTACACAATATGCGACATTGTTGTCTATCCTCTATGTCGGATATATTATTATGCAGGTCCCCTCCAATATGTTTCTCAATTACATCGGAAAGCCGTCGCTTTATCTGCCTGCTTGTATGGTAATTTGGGGAGTCATATCGGCGCTGACTGGAATTACTACAAAGTATGACCGATCATTGATGTCTGACAGATGACCGACCATACTCCTCATAATAGTTTCGTTGGAGCGCTCCTAACGCGATTCTTTCTTGGCTTCATAGAAGCAGCTTTTCTCCCGGGCGCCGTGTTCTTGATTTCGAAGTGGTTCGTTGATCATCGAGTATTCAGCTGAAGTCCTGAAATTCAATGTACAGGTACAAGAGAACAGAGATAGGTTCCAGATTAGCCATCCTATATTGGTAAGGGTACTACTATGCTGGTGGATATATCTATTCATTGACAGCACCATTACAGCGGAAACATGATCAGTAACGCCTTCGGAGCTCTCATTGCATCAGGTATTCTTGCTAACATGGACGGCGTCCGTGGACAAGCCGCATGGAGGTAATTCAATCCAGTTGATTTGTCAAAGGACTCTGTTGAATTTCATTTATAAGGTGGCTTTTCTATATCGAAGGAAGTCTGACTGTCACCGTTGCGATAATGGCTGTCTTTGTTTTGCCGGACTTTCCAACGACAACAAAGTGGCTTACTGATGACGAGCGCCGGCTTGCACTGAAGCGTATGGAGGAGGATGTTGGTGTCGGAGACCAGTTAGAAACTGAGAACGGTGGCTTCGGTTACGGCTTTTACCTCGCCATCCCCGACTGGAAGGTGTGGTGGATCGCAATACTTTTGATTGCTCAGGTTATAGCGTTATCCTTCACTGGCTATTTCCCTACTCTGACCGCAACACTTGGCTATAACCCAACGGCATCGCTGCTCCTCGTTGCGCCTCCTTGGATATATGCTGCCATTTTCACATTCGTGTGGACCAGGTAAGCTGGGATACCGAACAATCTAGGAACTGGTCTGAAGACCTCCTCAGACACTCTGATAAAACACAAGAAAGGTTCTTTCACATGAGCATTTCGAACCTCATTGGCATAATTGGGTCCCTCATTTCGATATGTACCATGAACACTGCAGCCCGATACTTCTCTCTGTATGCACATAATCTAAATTTCGGACATCTCGCTGATAGTGACCCCCTCAACAGCTTCCTCATGGCGCAGTCCAATTCAGCAAGTGTCTTGATGACCACGTGGGAGAGTAACATATTTGCGCGACCGCCGTCAAAGCGCGCAGTATGTTTTTCGCTTATCAATGCAGTTCAGCAACTAGGCAGCATCTCAGGGTCGTGAGTAGTTTAATCGATTATTAAAATTTCATTGACGAAATAGATGGCAGGTACGCTTGGCCAAGTAATTGGGGCCCTACCTATCGATATTCTTATACCATTGTGATCGCCTGTAACGTTACCGCGATTACGATGACTGAGATTCTCAGACAGCATCTGAAGACATTGAACAAGAAGCTGGAGAGAGAAGAGCAGGAGCAAGGGGTCGAAGAAAAAGGATTCCGCTACGTTCTCTGAACGATGGCTTGGTGACTTACGGGTTTTGGTCTGTGTGAAGTAGAGATATCCGAGGGACAATGGTCAGTGGTAGCGAAGAGGACCATAGTCTTCATTTGATTGATGTCTGATCTGATGGATACCGTTGGAGCAAAGAACGTTCCGTTGAACCCGGTTCCAAGATAGTGCGTCGTTATCTCCCTGTCGACGAACTGATTCAAATTAGTCGACGTGGTCGAGTCGGTGGAGCAAATTACGTACTTACCTCGTAGTTGACCCAGTCCCCTTGACTTGACTCACGACATTTTGAAGGCCTGTCGTCTAGCAGCCGAGTAAGCCCTCTCCTCCCAAGTTCCGTTCAACGATGAATGTGAATGATGGGTATTTCAACATCACGTTGCAGGGCCTGGTGTGCCCTACGATCAAGATTGATGTTATTGTTTTGCACAAAACGGCCTCGCGAGATAAACCTGTTCAAGTTGGGGTAGTCATACCACATGAATGAGTCGACAGAGCCTATTCGTCGTCCCTGTTTGCCGCAAACATCATAGTTTCTCAGAGAAACAGAAATATGAGTGAAAGTTCATGGACCGGTAACCAGTTTGCCTGGGTGGATTTGGAGATGTTTGATTCTTGTCAAAATGCAAAGGTATGCTGCTGCTACGGTAATCGCAATGTAGTGGTCAAGTTGTGATCAACCAGACATGTGCAAGCTTGGTGAGCTTCGGTCCTGGTTGAGAAAAATTTGGAATTTAGAGCCGCTTCAAAGCTCAGTTCATCAAAATCGCCGTCGCCGTCTTTGATGGTCGCCTCGCAGTCTATATTGCTGGGCTCGACGAAATTAGGGGCCCGTGCTGGTCGCTGCACGTCTTGAGTTGGCAACGACCTAATCAAACGATAAATTGAAACTCGAAACCAAAAACAGACTCAGGTTTTACGGATGACTTTGAGAACTTTCAAAATGGGACGGTGGTGCCGAGAGGATAGTGAAAGGATTGGACTCAAAAACCTTGTCGAATTATAAACGCGGATCTGTGAAAGATGAAGTCAACAGTGCTTCCAATAACATTTGAATACTATACCAAAGCCGTGTGAGCGTCCTGCACAGTGAGGGTGGCATCCTTGATTCGATAGCGGAATAGGTGCAACAAAACATCTGCGCCGTAAAATGCAAGGGGAGGGAATATCCACGGCCGCACAACGTATGGTAGCATATAGTGACAAAGAATGCCACGTATGTCAAAACGCTTCAGAAAAGGTTAGCTGTGATGTGGCGCGATCCAACAAACCTTACCGAACGACGAAGAAACAGTCTCCTGACTGGTCTCAAAGATGTAAGGACGATGATGGAGAGGAGGGCCAACGAAGCCACTCACAAAGTCTCTTTCTGCGGACCAATAATTGCAAATCCATACTGCAGATGATTGCGAACCCACAGGGACCCATGAATGCATCCGTCGAGGAACATGGCTCTTCCCGCCATCCTATGCATGAAGTTGAGTTTCTCGTAGCCATTCCCTGGTCATAAAAATAAGGACAGAATTGAGTTTTTTTGTTGCGAACAAAAAGACGACCGGAAACTGTGCGAGAGCGAGAAATCCTAAGTGACCCAAATAAGTTCCTCTCGTGCGTGAACGGATTGACTAACTCACCCGCTCTGTTCGGATTAGAAATAAGAGGTGCATCCTTTATGATGCAGACGAGTACAGCCGCGAGGTACGCCAATAAAACTATAACTAAATATTACAATGTGTCAGTTTTTCCTGTCAGTAACAAACACCCTCGATGCGCACTTTGTCCGAGATCGAGCCCGAGATTCGGAGGAGACCAATACGTCCGTGAGATAAGAGCCTAAGCTCCAACCAACCTACGATGTCTTCGACGGATAGGCGGTGGCTCCTTGCCGTCGGAATTGGCGGACTGATGTCCACTGGTCTCTGAGATTCCAGCAATTCACTTAAGGGAATGCCCATGTCTCAGATCAAGGATTAAACTCGGAACAGAGACAGCCACAGCCAGAGTCAAGCCAGAGCACCAAATTATAGTGAATTTAATTTGCCGCGGCCATTTAGGATCTTCGACGTATGAGTTGCAGCAATTCATGCATGCGTTTCAGTGTGCAAGATTGGAGTTGTCAGACGTACTTGTAAATCTGAAAGCTACTGGGAACAACTGTAGCAGCCATATTGTCGGGCTAGTTCGGAGGTAGCAGCCCAGTCGAGACTCGATAACCAGTGCGCACTGCGGATTGAGATGATTAATAAGTCAAAATCACATGTTACAATTTCATACCTGAGTCAATTGAAGACTGACTGACAGTGACTGTGATGGTAAGGTGCACTGCATTTGCGTGATGCTATGCTATAGAACGATTGCCATCATCAAAAGAAGCCGGGTCTGAGATTTGAACGACCATATGCAAGGGAAAGCGGTAAGAAATACCGTGAGAACGATATACCGGTAGCTATCTATCGGGATCTTAATCTCACGGTGTTGGATATCAAATACCGCTTGCTGGTATCGGAATAAATGTGCTCCAGGTAGTCGACCAGCTGGTCGAAGTCTTCTGGCGAACGGGAATCACATGTCCCTAAATGCTGGCTATTCCACAAATCGGCGGGGTCCCGAGATACTTTGGCAGCAGTGAGTCGTGAGCATGAAGCGCAGTGCATATTGCAGGGCATACAACAGCTCCCAGGGAGGTTTTGTTCGGCCCAGGATGACCTCATTCGTGAGTAAATCTCCCTGCCCACGTCCAGGTTCCGCACGGCGTGCAATGAAGGATTATAGTAACTTTTGGCAGACTCGAGCACCAGACAAATGACCTGGATGAAGTTCCATGCCCAACTCGGTGCGACGCATGTGTTGTCATCGCTGAGATGATAGATCACCTTCATACCAGAATTCAGCAAAATTAATCTTACTGTCAATGCGCAACATGCTTAACATCGTCAATGTTGGTGTCTGAAATGGACAAGCAGGAGATATCAAACCTGTCAGGAAATATAACAGAAATCCGAAGACCGTCGTTGCGATGAGCTTCCCTCGTTCCTCCTCCGAGCCGTGGCCATATCTGTTCGACTTATACTACCCGTGGAAGAGAGATACTTACATCTCTGGCGGCAGCTCCTGTACGAGGCTAGAACGGAGTGAATCTCAGCGTAATGTTAGGACAACGCTAGATGTATTCAGTACCTAGAACGGAGTGAATCTAGATAGTACATGAGTCAATATGAGGGTGTGCGTGAGCTGCTAAGTGTTACTCACCTCGGCGTAATGTTAGGACAATGCTGAGGTGAGACGACGCGAACGGCGCTACTGATATACGAACATGGCGAATCTGTGGCTGAGTGTCGAAGGTGAAACTGTACAGTACGTAGCACGTGGTCGAAGGAGATAACGAATGACAAGACACTGGTAGCTACCGGTGGCAGAGGTGCCGGTACAAGAAACGGACGTACGATTACCAAACATAGTACTACGTGCAAGAAGCGGACGGACGTCATACCGTGACACCCAACAGCTCCGCCAAAGGTTCAATATTTATCTTCTCCCTGTCTTGCTGTTAGACGGGTGAAAAATTCCAGGAAGCTGAAACTTACCCTTCAATGGGTCCTACGGAGTCAATTTGCGGGGGAGGCTGCTCAGTGTTGTGAGTGAGTTGATTCTCAGCGTCGTCGGTGCCTGATGCAGATGGCCTTGTGAAGTTACACCTATATTTAGATCCCAAGTAAAGCTAGCGAAATTGGGAAGGGTCGGAGGTGAGCAGACAGAGCAGAGTGGTGGTACACAGAAAATCGGTTAGGCGGCTACGAACATGATGAATACCTGCTTGCGAGCGTTGACACCGAGAGTGCTTGTGTTGGATGGGAAGCTTAAAAGGACGAGGACGAAACAAATGAGTGGTAAATATTGTAGCGGCATCTAAACGACATTCTTGCGGTGCACGGTGTCCTGATGTTGCGCTTACTTATTATGGGCAATGTGACAGTGACAACGACGTTGCAATTTGATGGACCATGGACCATCTCGACACCCAAGTTCCTTGTGCCTCTGCACGTCTATCTTACGGTTCTCTCTATGGACATTGGAGTCCGAATATAGATCATAATTGGTTTTAACTAAGCCAACCAACTCTTCGTACTACTTGATGCAGTTCAAGAGGGACGTAGCGCACGAGGATTTACGCTTGGTAAAGTAGCTGTCCGCACCACCTCCATCATTCACATGATTGGAGTCCACGTCCATCTCCTACGAGATATGCCTCATATCTGGGGATTCCCTATTCACCCTGTTCCTTTCACCATTGACTCGACAGTCACTCTGCACTTCGTTCCATTGACACCTCCCTCACCTCGAATACAACCCCTCCCTCTCGTCGAAGCTCCACATTCAGATGTTTACCGCAATGGTTCGCTCCTGTAACCTCTGCCATTTTGCAGCCTCAAGCCGCACTAATGTCAATAACCATGTCCTTGGCCAAAGTATGGTCCCGTCACCTTCAAGGCTTCCCTACACTATGGACCTGCCAGCCTATTCATGCAGTGCCACCTATAAGAGATATTCCTTTTCCGCAGGGTTCGGTTTGTTACATTCCATCTCTCGACGGCAACTCGGCGGTGAGTGAATCCGGTAGCGGTCACAGCTTCCTCAATACTTCGTTCGTGAATCATCGATGCATCTTTCGCCGAACGAGGATACAATTGGTTGTATTCTCGCCTTATTCTTTCTTACCAGGCAACATCATCCTTCCCCCATGGCACTTTCAGCTCAATTGGACCAATCATTCGTCATTTCTTTGCGCGCCGTTTTCAGCGATATAGACATTTTTTTGCCTTTGTCATTACCTCACAAAATATACTCAATTCTACATTTTACCTTTGCGTGCTAACTGAGTAGTACGATACAAGTCCAGGAGCAGCAATCATTCTAAGACTCGCACGTCCCTTTCAACGTTGGCAGACCACTTTCGCCGCAAACTGTTCATGCCATTCTCAACTTTAGCACAGATTCTTCTACTAATCCTGGCCGGTGATGTCCTTTCCCAGCGCCTGTGCAATCATACCAGCGTCTATCGTGCCGAACATCCACCGACAATATGGAAATACACGTGCAGCGTGGCCTGAATGTTAGCGCTCAATCTCCCTCTCAGCTGAACCTCTATCCACAGTCCCCATATCCTTACCCCCGTCCTCCCTTCTCACTGATTCCTTCCACGCCACTCAGCCCGTCTTCAAACCTCATCAATTTGCTCCATCGCAACATCATGCCCGGTAGCTCAGAAAGCCGGTATATCAGACTTGAAGGCGAGTTCCTCAACATTACCTTCGCATCAGTGTCATGATCCTCACACTCTATCTACAGTCATCAGCGGAAAGAATCTTCAAGTCCCCTCTTGGCGCATTCCCGCTGGCATTTACGTGTCCATCAATGTCGACTCAAGGAGACGCTGGAAATCGGCCATCAGTGTCCTATCATCTGATGAATCTGTAGCGTGGGGGGATACCGTAACTCTGTAATGTCCATGGAGATCTTCTGACGTGATGCGAGAACTGATGATTGGTTTATAGACCATCAAATGCCTCGCCTGCATTGTCAATAGAGATCAGGGCATCCTATGAGCTTGGTCGAATGCTAGGCGGTGGAGAGGTCATTGGGGGACTTCAAATGTCGTGGGATGAGGTACTCGATCATGGAGATCACCCATTTGGTCGGTGATTCGCTTCTCATTCATGTGCATATACTAACATCTCGTAGATCTGTCTTTCCCAGCCGTGCGCGATGTCCAACCTTCCATCACACTGAAGGTTGCTGTTGTTGATGCTTGGGACGATCAAAATGGCGCACTGTTTGATGTGAGCGACCCCGGACTCTGTTCTGTTAGCTTTTCTGACGGATCGCCAACTATAGTCCCTCGTAGACTGCGAGATTGCTCGAGACGCAGATGCGGGCCACGCACAATTTGCCTCATACATGAAAAGCGAGAATGTCCCTGACTTGAACGATGCTATGGAGCACTTTCAGTTGGTTCTGAACCAGTGTCCGGTCAGCCATCCAGACCGCGCAACGGCTCTCACCAACCTTGCATGGGCTCGCCTTAAAGGCTACATCCGAAATGGTGACATTGATACTACCACTTCGCTCTTCCGCGACGCCCTTGCATTGCGTCCGCAGCACCATCCCGATCATCCCTTATCCCTATATAATCTCACAGAAGTGCTGACTTGGCGCCACTCCAGGAAAAGTACTGCTGCAGACATCTGCGAAGCTGCTAAACTCTATCATGAGCTACTGCCTCTCTGTCCGGAGGGCACGTACATTCGTAGCATCGCGGCAGGGGAAAGTGGTGTTGATTATGTGATCGACAGATGCAACGATATTCCAATAGACGCATCCGATGAAGGCATCCACCTTCGAAGAGTCGTCCTCGAGCTCTGTCCTCTGGGCCATCCACTTCGTCCCAGAACCCTCGACAAGCTTGCACAAGCAGTTGAAGCACGGTTTGATCAGCACGGCAGCATCGATGATCTTGACACGAGCATACAGCTTGGTCGTGAAGCCGTGTCTCTGTGTTCCGAGGGACATGCTGACCGTGATACCTACCTGAACAATTTGGCCTTTTCACTCGTATCCCGCTTTGATCACCAAGGAAATACTAATGATCTCAACGAAGCCATCTCTTTGTATGAAGCAGCGCTGCACCTGCGCCCTGTTGGGCACGAATCTCGTGATTTCTCATTGGACAACCTGGGGGGCGCTCTCGTCGACCGTTTCAAGAAACGAGGCGATATCGAAGACTTGACCCGAGCTATCAGCCTCTATCGCGAGGCCCTGACGTTGCGCCCACTTGAGCATCCACATCGTTGCACCACACTTAACAACCTTGCCCTCGCGCTCCAAAAGAGATATGATAAATCGCAAGTCAGCGAGGATCTCAACGAGGCCATTGATCTGTATCGAGAATCCCTTCGGTTACAGTGGCTTGACAATCCAAGGCGCCATAGAACTCTTTTAAATTTGAGCTCGTCGCTCTGCTCTCGTTTCACGCGAACTCGGAGGAATGAAGATGTTGAGGAGGCCATTGCTCTTTGCCAAGAATCATTGGCGGCTCTGTCTTCACTACACCCGGACAGGTATTGCAGCTACATGTGGCTGCAGGAGGCCTATTTGTCTCGTTACCGGATTCTACACGACCCTGCTGATTTGTCTCTTGCAGTGGAGAACTTCAGACTCGCATCAAGACATTCTACTCAAGGGTTCCCACAACGCATCATTATCGCATTCAATTGGACAGTTGCAACTGAGCGGCATGGTCATGAATCCGCGCTGGAAGCCTACTTGACATTTTTTGAACTTCTGGATGCTCATCTGACAACACGGTCTTCGGCAACTTCACGGCGCGAAGCTGCCGCTGCCTTCCATCCCGCCAGAACACTCCCAGCAGATGCAGCGTCATGTGCCATTCGCTGTGACAATCTTCCACATGCAGTTGAGCTTGTGGAGCAGGGTCGTGGCCAGCAATGGTCGCTGGCCTCCCGTCTCAGGACTCCAGTTGAAGACCTTGAGTCAGCGAATCCGGCACTGGCGCACAATTATTTGGAGCTGAGAAAACTCGTTTCCAGTGCGGCCCAAAGTTCTGCAACAATCGCCGACAGAGCTGCTGCTGATCAGGCAGCAATGGAGTACAGGAGACTTACGAGGCAATGGGAAGCTGCGGTTGCTGAGATACGTGATCTTCCGGCGTTTTCACGGTTCCTACTCCCACCTCTGTATGCAGACCTGCAAGCGGCAGCGCGCCAAGGCCCGGTCATCATCCTCATTGCGAGCCAATACTCATGCAGCGCCATCATCGTCCCGACGTCAGGAGACCCCCATCATGTTCCCTTGCCATCTGTCACTCTCGCAGATCTGACCAATCTCAAGGACCGCATTGCCAGGGCAATACGACACGCATCTACCCTGGCCCCAAAAGTGCCGCGAAACGATCTAATAGTCCTCTTGCGGACAGTATGGGATGAGATCATGCTACCCATCGTCAACGTCCTCCGGCATAATCTGAAACTAAAATACTGTCGAATCTGGCTGTGTCCAACTGCAGCTTTCACATCTATTCCTCTCCACGCAGCTCACCCGTTTCGAACCGACCCAGATGGCTCTAGGGAGAAATGCCTGGAGGATCTCTACATCTGCTCTTACACCCCGACACTTTCGGCTCTGGTCAGATCTAGACAGATGATGAAGAAGCGCGTCACTCCATCCTTCGCGACAATCGGACAGGGTCAACCGGGTGCAGGAAAAGGCAAGGCGCTCTTGGCCGTCGACAGCGAGCTCGAGCTTGTCCATAAGCTCGTCCCTGCGACGGCCAAACGTACTACTATTTCTGGCGACGCAGCCACACGAGCGGGTGCGCTCGAAGCTTTGCAAGAGAACACCTGGGTGCACCTAGCTTGTCATGGCAAGCAGGACCCAAAGCAGCCTTACAATTCACATTTCGTCATGAGAGACGAAGATCTGACGCTTCTCGATATCATGGAGAGAGATATTCCACACGCCGAGTTCGCGTTCTTATCAGCGTGTCATACCGCCGTCGGGGATGAGGAGACACCCGACGAAGTAATTCACCTCGCAGCTGGTCTTCAGTTTTCGGGGTTCAAGAGCGTGATTGGGACGCTGTGGCAGGTCGACGACTCTGTCGCACAACATGTCGTCAAAGCCTTCTATGAGAACATGTTCAAAGATTTGAAGGATGAAGGTGTGATGGACTGTACGAAGGCAGCCTGGGCACTGAACCGTGCCACGCACGCCGTGAAAACGCAAGTGCCGCTGGAGCAGAGGATGGTTTTCGTTCATATTGGTGTGTAGTTCTACGTCGTATTACTGTCGTGTGTTGCATATTCACAAGTTGTTGATTTGCGATCCTCTTCCATCCTGTTGTATAAATGACCAGGCCTGATATATATTTGCATTCCAGCTATCTCGTTTCGTATACTCTCTTGTATTTTTGTCGACTAGAATGTTCACCAAAGTTCCTGTGTACTCAGCTCGTTTGCAGTCTTATCCTCTGCTCCAGTACTTAGTACTTAGGAGCCAGGCCTGTTAAGCGGACTCTTGCCTTGCAGTCGTACTTCAAGTGGTCAAGACCTTCTGCAATGAAATCTCGATCAACCAATGCCAAGTTAGAAGCAAGGCCCATCCACCTCGATGTGCGCACCCGTCGAAGTCAGTAGTTTCTTCAACCCTGGATGACTGCTTTGACTCATCTCCGTGCACTACTTACTACATCCGCTCCGACATTAGTGCCAAGTTGAATCTTCCAACAAGGCGTGCACTTAGTATATGACGACATTCAAGATTCGGTCAGCACTCGTGACTTATTATTGAAGTTACTCGTACTTGTTGAAGGGTTCGGTGATCTGCCAGTACCTCCTCGATCGACTCGTCCTCAAGCCTACCTCTGGGTCCCGTCAACGTTATAACGCATTTGATTTTTCTCGGCGATAAAGGCATTCACTGGCGGATGGTCACTTCTTTCAGGCTTTCTGGGACATCCTGCAGTTGGTGCGCATGCAGGAATGGCTGTCAGTGCGCCAGATGGATAGATTCGAGACAGTGAGATTAGCCTAGGAGCGAGGGTACGCGTCCTGTTATTTATGTCTGCATTTCAGGACTAGTGTGCAGAATCAGAACTGTAGACATACTTGTAAATTTGAAAGGTAGCCATAGTATTGGGGACGTAACGGCCAAGTCGAGACTCTACGCACCGGCAGACTGCGCATTGAAGATAAGTCAAAATCACTTCATACCTGAGCTATAGATGGCGGTTTTGGGAGGTCGTATAAGTACTGGATTTGCTTTGTAACTTGAAAGATCGAGCCTATTTTCGGTTCCCCTCGAAACTCAACTTCGAACGCCCCTGATGGAGAGAGGTCACTTGCCCTCTGAACACAACCTCATTCTACTCTACTGCTCTTGCACCAGGTGAACTTGATTCTCGTCGTTCGTTCCTCCTGACTGCGGCCTAGTTTAACACACCTGCCGATGATGTCATCCAGCAGACCAAGAGTGAATATGACCCCAGACCTGCCGGCTACAAGAAACACGCTTTCGTACAGACCCAGATCGATACTCGACCCTCTATAAGGACCATCCAGCATGACTTGAACGAAAGCACCCGAGTCGCCCTCAGACTTCTCATTGATTTTTAAATGTTCTTGTTGCTGTCGGGAGTTATTCAATGCCCGCGTCCAGTCTCCATCGCTTCGTGCCGCGAGAAGGAACCCAGGTGAGGAGAGGCAAGAATGGGACGGTGGTGCCGAGAGGATAGTGAAGGGATGGGATTCAAAAACTCTGTCGGAGAAGAAAACGCGCAATCTGACATGCTGGCCAGCAAGCCAGCCATCGTTGCAATTATGAACGCGGATCTGTGAAAGATGAAGTCAACAGTGCGTCCAATAACATTCGAATACTATACCAATGTCATGTGAGCGTCCTGCACAGTGAGGGTGGCATCCTTGATTCGATAGCAGAATAGGCGTCATAAAACATCTGCGCCGTAAAATGCAAGGGGAGGGAATATCCACGGCGATACAAACAAGGTATGGTAGCATATGGTGACAAAGAATGCCACGTATGTCAAAACGTTTCAAGAAATGTTAGCTGTGGTGCGACGTGAGGCAACAAACCTTACTGGACGACGAAGAAACACGTATAAAACAGTCTCCTAACTGGCCTCAAAGACGTAAAGACGATGATGCAGAGGAGGGCCAGCGAAGCCACTCCCGAAGTCTCTTTCTGCGGACCAAGAATTGCAAGTCCATACTGCAGATGATTGCGAATCCACAGGGACCCATGAATGCATCCACCCGAAGAACATGGCTCTTCCCGCCATCCTATGCATGAAGTTGAGTTTCTCGTAGCCATTCCCTGGTCCTAACAGTGAGGACAGAATTGTGTTTTTTGTTGCGAACAAAAAGACGACCGGAAACTGTGCGAGAGCGATAAATCCTACGTGGCTCAAATAAGTTTCTCTCGTGCGTTAACGGGTTGACTGACTCACCAGCTCTGTTCGGATTAGAAATAAGAGGTGCATCCTTTACGATGCAGACGAGTACAGCTGCGAGGTACGCCGATAAGACTATGACTGAATATTACCGTGTGTTAGTATTTCCTATAAGTAATAACATAACACCCTCGATGCGCACTTTGTCCGAGATTGAGCTCGAGCTTCAGAGGAGACCAATACGTCAGCGAGATAAGAGCATTCCAAGCTCCAACTAACCTAGGACGTCTTCGACGGATAGGCGGTGGCTCCTTGTCATCGGAATGGGCAGACTGATATCCATTGGTCTCTGAGATTCCAGCGATTCACTTGAGGAAACATCCATATCTCAGACCAAGAATTAAACTAGGAACAGAGACAGCCACAGCCAGTGTCAAGCCAGAGCACCAAATTATGTGAATTTAATTTGCCATTTAGGATCTTCGATGTATGAGTTGCAGCAATTCATGCATGCGTTTCAGTGTGGAAGATTGGAGTTGTCAGACGTACTTGTAATCTGAAAGCTACTGGGAACAACTGGAGCAGCCATATTTTCGGGCTAGTTTAAAGTTAGGAGGTAGCGGCCCAGTTGAGACTCGATAACCAGTGCGCACTGCGGAAGGACCTGATGATTAGCAAGTCGAAATCACAGGTTACAATTTCATATACATACCTGGAGACTGTAATGGTAGGGTACCCTCGTGATGCTATCATGAAATTCTGAAGGACCATCATGAGTCATGTGCAAGGAAAGGGCTAGGAAACACCGTGAGAACGGGATGCGGCATATGCCGGCACGTTTGGACCACGACACCCAAGTTCGAATTCCTTGTGCCTCTCCACGTCTATCTTACGGTTCTCTCTATGGAGTCAGAATATAGATAATCGATCATCATTCATCTCTTCGTACTTGATGCAGTTCAAGGTGGACGCAGTGCACGACGATTTACGCTTGGTAAAGTAGCTGTCCGCACCGGCCGACCTCCATCATTCACATGATTGGAGTCCACGTCCATCTTCTACGAGATACGCTTCTGGTGATTCCCTCTTCACCCTGTTTCTTTCACCTTGTTCCATTGACATCACCCTTCCTCGAATACAATTCCTCCCTCTCGTCGAAGCTCCACATTCAGATGTTTACCTCAATGGTCCGCTCGGTCCCGTCACCTTCAAGGCTTCCATACATTATGGACCTGCCAGCCTATCCATGCAGTGCCACCTATAATATATATTCCTTTTCCGCTGGATCCGAGAGCGGTCACAGCTTCCTCAATACTTCGTTCGTCAATCATCGACCATCCTTCACCGAACGAGAATACAATTGGTTGCATTCTCGCCTTATTCTATCTTAGATCCTATTCCTCGCTGTAGGCAAGATCATCCTTCCCCCATGGCACTGTCAGCTCAATGGGACCAGTCGTATGTAATCATTCGTCTTTTCTTTGCGCACCGTTTTCAGTGATAAGTATAGAGATTTTTTGCCTTCGTCATTACCTCACAAAATATACTCAATTTTACATTTTGCCTTGGCGTGCTAACTGAGTACTAAGATACAAGTCCAGCAGCAGCAATCACGCTGATACTCGCATGTCCCTTTCAACGTTGGCAGGCCACTTTTGTTACAAAATTTTCATGCCATTATCTACTTTAGCAGATTCTTCTGGTCGGTAATTTCCATCCTCGGCGCTTGTGCGATCATACCAGCGTCTATCGTGCCGAACATCCACTGACAATATAGAAATACACGTGCAGCGTGACCTGAACCCTAGGCCTCAATCTCCCACTCAGCCGAACTCTATCTGCAGTCCCCATATCATTACCCCCATCTTCCCTTCCCATTCATCCGTCGTCCACCACTCTGCCCGTCCTCGATCCTCATCATTTTGCTCTATCGCAACATCATGGGTAGCTCAGAAAGCCGATATATCAGACTTGAAGGCGAGTCTCTCCATATTATCTTCGCATCTGTTTCGTGATTATCACACTCTATCTACAGTCATCAGCGGAAAGAATCTTCGAGTCCCCTCTTGGCGCATTCCCGCTGGCATTTATGTGTTCATCAATGTCGACTCGAAGAGATGCTGGAAATCGGCCATCAGTGTTTCATCATCTCATCAATCTGTAGCGTGGGGGGATACTGTAACTCTGTAAAGTCCATGGAGATCTTCTGACGTGATGCAAGAACTGATGATTGGTTTATAGACCATCAAATGCCTCGCCTGCATTGTCAATAGAGATCAGGGCATCCTATGAGCTTGGTCGGATGCTAGGCGGTGGAGAGGTCATCGGGAAACTTCAAATGTCGTGGGATGAGCTAATCAATCATGGAAATCACCCATTTGGTGAGTGATTCGCTTCTCATTCATGTGCATATACTAACGTCTCGTAGATCTGTTTTTCCCACCCGTGCGCGGTGTTCAACCTTCTATCACACTGCGGGTTGCTGTTGTACATGCTTGGGACGATCAAAATGGCGCACTGTTTGATGTGAGCGACCGCGGACTCTGTCCTGTTAGTTTTGCTGATGGAACGCCAACTATAGTCCCTCGTAGACTGCGAGATTGCTCGAGACGCAGATGCGGGCCACGCACAAATTGCCTCATACAAGAAAAGCAAAAATGTCTCTCACTTGATCTATGCTATGGAGCATTTTCAGTTGGTTCTGAACCAGTGTCCGGTCGGCCATCCAGACCGCGCAACGGCTCTCACCAACCTCGCGTCGGTTCTCCTTAAAGGCTACATCCGAAATGATGTGTAAGACATTGATACTACCACTTCCCTCTTCCGCGACGCCTTTACATTGCGTCCGCAGCCCCATCCCGATCATACCTTATCCCTATATAATCTCACCGAAGCGCTAAATTGCCGTCACGCCAAGAAAGGTACTGCTGGCGACATCCGCGAAGCCGCCCAACTGTATCATGAGCTACTGCCTCTCTGTCCAGAGGGCACGTACCTTCGTAGCATCGCAACAGGGGAAATTGGTGTTGATTATGTGATCGGCGGATGCAACAATCTTCCAAAAGACGCATCCGATGAAGGCATCCACCTTCGAAGAGTCGTCCTCGAGCTCTGTCCTGTGGGCCATCGACTTCGCCCTAGAACCCTTAACGAGCTTGCACGAGCAGTTCAAGCACGCTTTGATCAACACGGCAGCATCGATGATCTTGACACGAGCATACAGCTTGGTCGTGAAGCCGTGTCTCTGTGCCCCGAGGGACATGCTGACCGTGATACCTACCTGAACAACTTGGCCTTTTCACTCCTATTCCGCTTTAGGCACCAAGGCAATCCCAATGACCTTGATGAAACCATATCTTTGTACGAAGAAGCACTGCACCTGTGCCATATCGAGCACAAATCTCGTGATTGCTCATTGGGCAACCTAGGGAGCGCCTTGGTCGCTCGTTTCGAGAAACGCGGCGACATTGAAGACATGACCCGAGCCATCAACCTCTGTCGCGAGGCCCTGACGTTGCGCCCACCTGGGCATCCACATCGTGACACCACACTTAACAACCTTGCCCTCGCGCTCAAAACCAGATATAACAAATCGCATGTTAGCGAGGATCTTAATGAGGCCATTGATTGGTATCGCGATTCCCTTCGGTTACGGCTTGACGATCCAGAGCGCCATAGAACTCTTCACAATTTGAGCTCGGCGCTCTGCTCTCGTTTCACGCAAGCTCATAAGAATGAAGATGTTGAGGAGGCCATTTCTCTTTGCCAAGAATCATTGGCAGCTCTGTCTTCACTACACCCGGACAGGTTTTGCAGCTACATGAACCTGCAGGAGGCCTATTTGTCTCGTTACCGGATTCTACACGACCCTGCTGATTTGTCTCTTGCAGTGGAGAACTTCAGATTCGCATCAAGACATTCTACTGAAGGGTTCCCACAACGCATCATTGGCGCATTCAATTGGATAGTTGCAGCTGAGCAGCATGATCATGGATCCGTGCTGGAAGCGTACTTGACATTTTTTGAGCTTCTGGATGCTCATTTGGCAACGCGGTCTTCGCCAACTTCACGACGCGAAGCTGCTGCTGCCTTCAATGATATCAGAATGCTGCCTGTATATGCAGCATCGTGCGCTATTCGCTGTCACAATCTACCACATGCAGTTGAGCTTGTGGAGCAGGGCCGTGGCCAGCAATGGTCGCTGGCCTCCCGACTCAGGACGCCAGTTGAAGACCTTGAGTCAGCGCATCCGGCACTGGCGCACAATTATTTGGAGCTGAGCAACTTCATTTCCAGTGCGGCCCAGAGTTCTGCAACCATCACTGACAGAGCTGTTGCTGATCGGGCCGCAATAGAGTATAGGAGACTTACAAGGCAATGGGAAGCTGCGGTAGCTGAGATACGTGATCTTCGGGAGTTCTCGCGGTTCCTGCTCCCACCTTTGTATGCAGACCTGCAAGCGGCAGCGCGCCAGGGCCCGGTCATCATCCTCATTGCGAGTGAATACTCATGCAGCGCCATCATCGTCCCGACGTCAGGAGACCCCCGTCATGTTCCCTTGCCGTCTGTCACTCTCGCAGATCTGACCAATCTCAAGGACCGCGTCGCCAGGGCGATACGACACGCATCTACCCTGGGCCCAAAAGTGCCGCGAAACGATCTAATAGTCCTTTTGCGGACAATATGGAATGAAATCATGCTACCCATCATCAACGTCCTCCGGCATGACCTGAAACTAAAATACTGTCGAATCTGGCTGTGTCCAACTGCAGCCTTCACATCTATTCCTCTCCACGCAGCTCACCCGTTTCGAACCGACCCAGATGGCTCTAGGGCGCAATGCCTGGAGGATCTCTACATCTGCTCTTACACGCCCACACTTTCGGCTCTGGTCAGATCCAGACAGATGATGAAGAAGCGCGTCACTCCATCCTTCGCGACAATCGGACAGGGTCAACCGGGTGCAGGGAAAGGCAAGGCGCTCTTGGCCGTCGACAGCGAGCTCGAGCTTGTCCATAAGCTCGTCCCTGCGACGGCCAAACGTACTACTATTTCTGGCGACGCAGCCACACGAGCAGGTGCGCTCGAAGCTTTGGAGCAGAACACCTGGGTGCACCTAGCTTGTCATGGCAAGCAGGACCCAAAGCAGCCTTACAATTCGCATTTCGTCATGAGAGACGAAGATCTGACGCTGCTTGATATCATGGAGATAGATATTCCGAACGCCGAGTTCGCGTTCTTATCGGCGTGTCATACCGCCGTCGGGGATGAGGAGACACCCGACGAAGTAATTCACCTCGCAGCTGGTCTTCAGTTTTCGGGGTTCAAGAGCGTCATTGGGACGCTGTGGCAGGTCGACGACGCTGTTGCAAAACACGTCGTCAAAGCTTTCTATGAGAACATGTTCCCAGATTTAAAGGATGGAGGTGTGATGGACTGTACGAAGGCGGCCTGGGCACTGAACCGTGCCACGCACGCTGTGAAGACGACAGTTCCGCTGGAGCAGAGGATGGTTTTCGTTCATATCGGTGTGTAGCTCTAATACCTCGTATTGCTGTCGTGTGGTACATATTCACAAGTTGTTGATCTGGGATCTGTTGTGAAAATAACTCTGATACCATATTCTTGCGCTCCAGCTATCTTACTTTTGTATACTTGGTCATGTTTTAGTCGACTAGAATGTTCACTTAAGTTCTTGTGTACTCGACTTGTTCGCAGCCTCGTCTTATGCTTGAGCGCTGAAGACTTGAAGTTTAAAGTTAATTGTATGTGGCTGTGCCCCGAAGAGATGATGTCATCTTCGGTACTTCTGAAACTTCCGCTTATCCATGTCGCCGCCTTGCATATCCGCTAGCAGTCATGTTTTATTATACTCTTCTCGACTATTTTCACAACAACTGTCACTCAACAAGCCAAGTGAAGATTTACATTTCATCGATTTATCATTTTACCATGCTCCGTAACTTCATCAACAGTATTGTCAGCTCAGCGTTGAGTAACTTGAGTTGTGCAGAAAAGCTGCGTGATAAAAAAAAGGTAAGTCATTGAACTCTTGGTTGTCGCAAACTTCTCATCCTCGCTAGCTTGGTGTTCATGGCGATCTCCACAGTCGTCCGTGCGGGAGGACCGTGCTATCGGTCTCTCCTACACCCATTCCTACCCCAACTCATCACTTCTCAAACACCGACACACCTTTATCCTCGATTATAGATACAGAAGATGCTATTTGTCGTGGACAAATGCACTCTCGGATCGGAACACCCACTCTCGAAGGCATGCCCGATGAAATACAATGCCATATCCTCGGGTTTCTCTCATATAATGAAATTATACGATGCGCTTCGGTGAGTCATTTATTCATTCCTATCTTTCGAACTAATATACTGATCTGCCCTTCACAGACCTGCCTGACACTATACAACACAGTCAAATGCTCTGTTGAGCTACAGTACATCATCGAACTCGGTGCTCAACGGCTGGTCGAAGTACATCCGCGATCGCCTACTGCCTCTTTAGCAGACTGCTTGACCATCCTCAGAAAAAAGGCAAACGCATGGAACAATTTCAAGCCCATTGCTACGGATGCGTTTCGCGTCAAGACCTTGTTCGACTTGAACTCGGTCGTTCATCGAAACATCATATCCTGTACGCCGTCCGTGCATGTCGATGCTGCGTCCAACACTGTGGATATCAAGACCAACAGCACGTGTACCGCCAAAGTCGTGATGAATTCCAATCCGGTCCCTCATACGTACAGGTACATGGACGAGTCTCAAGATATCGAGGTTATCGTTACATTTCCGATCGATGTAGACTCTGATGGCTTCAAGTACCGAATATCCTTCCGTTCGATATCAACGGGGGAGGAACATCCTTTGTCTCGTGGATCTCGTGTAGTGGGAGGTAGAGCCACATGCAGCGAAGCTCAGTTCATCAAAATTGCTATCGCTGTCTTCGATGATCGCCTCGCAGTCTATATTGCCGGGCTCGACGAAAATAGGGGCCCGTGCTGGTCGCTGCACGTTTTGAGTTGGCAACGACCTGGTCAAGCTGATGTGGGTGTCTTCTTCTGTCTCTCGCTGTCGGTCTGATTGAGCATTTACCAGGACTTATGTGTGATCGGCGATGGAACTGAGTTGCTGGACATACGTTTTCTTGTGAAGGAGAAGCTTATAGCTCTTTCGACAGATGGTCATATACACCTCTACGACACTGAGGATCCATCAAAGGCGCCGCGGCTTCATGCAAGATTCATGATGCCCGTCCATGGCAAGTTGGGCGTATTCGATCACCCATCAAATTTTCATAGTGCCACAAGCTGTGCAGACCTCGCGGTACCAGTCGACCATTGGATCTGGGCAACAAACCCTGCAGATCGAGTCATATCAGTGACATGGGCCGATCCTTCGTCGATGTACATCGTATCTGCTCGCATATTTTTCATGGACGTTCCTTCGACATGGTTTGACGCGACGTCAGAAGATGGACGGTCAGTCAAATGGTCATCGTGGGGTCCACAAAACTCTCGTCTTGTCCCTGATGAAAGGTTCGGCATGCAAAGACGGTGCTTTTTTGGAGTGGGTGGATCTCGTGTTGTATGGGCTGGTCCTGTCGCGGGTCGAAGTGATTCGTCGTTCCAGTTGTACATGACTGATTTCAATCCCTCGGTTGTGGCGCGTGGTATCGGCCAGGTGGTTCGCGGACCTACGACATCGGTAGGTCTCCCATCGGACATGCAGGTGTCGACGTATCTCCCTTTCGTGGAGGTGGCTCATGATATAGCTTTCGATGCTCCTCTTTGGGATATCAAACTCGACGAGGAGACGATGGTGGTGTTCACCCGACCAACGATTGAGTCCGTGAGTGTATTTCTGTCTGTCTGGCTCACGAAGTTCACTCTCACTTCATGTATCAGGAGTGGAAAATGCAGGCCGACGTCTTTGAAATGTAGTTGTGGTCATAAGTGTTTACGAGAGAATGTTCACTTAATTTCTTTTTACTCGACTTGTTCGCAGCCTCGCCTTCTGCTTGAGTACTCGTAGATAGTGGGAGTCATGCCAGTCAAGCCTACCAGTCACGTCAAACCAGATATCCTTCAAGTTAAGCCTTTCTGCACCGTGGAATCTTAAGTGAGAGAATGGGAGTCACCAGTAATATATGGCAGCTGACAGGAAACAGAAAATCGGTGTTATTATAACATGCCAAGATATGCCAGACTCGGATATGTTCGACAATCGCACAAGCTGCCTAGTAAGTAGATACTTGAGCAGTGGAAGTAGTATTGAGGGAGGTCCTGACAATTTCTGCTCTACTAATAAATGTGACGGTCCATCGTCTCTTCGTAGTAAAATCTAGGTCGAACTAGCTTCTTCGTCGATGGATTGTAGTGAAGCGTGAGTCATAGGATCCTGCTTCTTCAAGTTCACCAATTGGATACCCGGCCGCGGTAAAAGAAGTCCGCAAAGTCTATTTTTGGTTCCGAATCTCGAAAGACATCACGTGTGAACGGAGAGAGCGACTTCATTTTACTTTACTGCTCTAGTCCAATGTCGCTATTTTAACATCTTTCTCTCTATGGATCCGTCCGAATATGGTCGTATTCAGATGATCATTCATCTCTTCGTACTTGATGCAGGGGACGTAGTGCACGGGGATTTACGCTCGTTAAATTAGCTGTCCGGACTCCGCACTTGGAGTCCACGTCCATCTTCTACGAGATACACCTCATATCTGATTCCCTCTTCACCCTGTCTCTTTCACCATTGACTCGACAGTCACTCTGCACTTTGTTCCCTCGAATACAACCCCTCCCTCTCGTCGAAGCTCCACATTCAGATGTTTACCGTTAACGAACATCCACCGACCATATGGAAATACACGTGCAGCGTGACCTGAACCCTAGGCCTTAATCCCCCACTTAGCCGAACTCTATCCACACTTCCCATATCCTTACACCCATCTTCCCTTCCCATCCATCCCGTCCACCACTCTACCCATCCTCGATCCTCATCATTTTGCTCCATCGCAGCATCATGCCTGGTAGCTCAGAAAGCCGGTATATCAGAGTTGAAGGCGAGTCCCTCCATATTATCTTTGCATCTGTTTCATCATCCTCACACTCTATCTACAGTCATCGGCGGAAAGAATCTTCATGTCCCCTCTTGGCGCATTCCCGCTGGCATTTACGTGTCCATCAATGTCGACTCAAGGAGACGCTGGAAATCGGCCATCAGTGTCCTATCATCTGATAAATCTGTGGCGTGGGGGGATACCGTAACTCTGTAAAGTCCATGGACATCTTCTGACGTGATGCGAGAACTGATGATTGGTTTATAGACCATCAAATGCCTCGCCTGCATTGTCAATAGAGATCAGGGCATCCTATGAGCTTGGTCGAATGCTAGGCGGTGGAGAGGTCATTGGGGGACTTCAAATGTCGTGGGATGAGGTACTCGATCATGGAGATCACCCATTTGGTCGGTGATTCGCTTCTCATTCATGTGCATATACTAACATCTCGTAGATCTGTCTTTCCCAGCCGTGCGCGATGTCCAACCTTCCATCACACTGAAGGTTGCTGTTGTACATGCTTGCGACGATCAAAAGGGGGCACTGTTTGATGTGAGCGACCCCAGACTCTGTTCGGTTAGCTTTGCTGACGGATCGCCAACTATAGTCCCTCGTAGACTGCGAGATTGCTCGAGACGCAGATGCGGGCCACGCACAATTTGCCTCATACAGGGAATGCGAGAATCTGAATGTCTCTCACTTGAACGATGCTATGGAGCATTTTCAGTCGGTTTTAAACCAGTGTCCGGTCGGCCATCCTGACCGCGCAACGGCTCTCACCAACCTTGCATGGGTTCGCCTTAAAGGCTACATCCGAAATCATATTCAAGACATTGATACTACCACTTCCATGTTCCGCGACGCCCTTGCATTGCGTCCGCGGCACCATCCCGATCATCCCTTATCACTATATAATCTCACAGAAGCACTCGGTTGGCGCCACTCCAAGAAAAATACTGCTGCAGACATATGCGAAGCCGCCCAACTCTATTATGAGCTACTGCCTCTCTGTCCAGAGGGCACGTACTTTCGTAGCATCGCGGCAGGGGAAAATGGTATTGATTATGTGATCGGCGGATGCAACGGTCTTCCAACAGACGCATCCCATGAAGGCATCCAACTTCGAAGAGTCGTCCTCGAGCTCTGTCCTATGAGCCATCGACTTCGTCCCAGAACCCTCGACGAGCTTGCACAAGCAGTTAAAGCACGGTTTGATCAGCACGGCAGCATCGATGATCTTGACGCGAGCATACAGCTTCGTCGTGAAACCGTGTCACTGACCCCCGAGGGACATGCTGACCGTGATACCTACCTCAACAATTTGGCTCGCTCACTCATGTCCCGCTTTAAACACCAAGGCAATCCTAATGACCTCGATGAGGCCATCTCTTTGTACGAAGAAGCACTGCACCTGTGCCCTGTTGGGCACGATTCTCGTGATTGTTCATTGGACAACCTAGGGGGCGCCCTTGTCTACCGTTTCAACAAACGCGGCGATATCGAAGACTTGACCCGAGCTATCAGCCTCTATCGCGAGGCCCTGACGTTGTCCCCACCTGGTCATCCAAGTCGTGACACCACGCTTAACAGCCTTGCCCACGCACTCCAAAACAGATATGACGAATCGCAAGTCAGCGAGGATCTCAACGAGGCCATTGGTTAGTATCGCGAATCCCTTCGGTTAACACGACTTGACGATCCAGAGCGCCATATAACTCTTTGCAGGTTGAGCTCCGCGCTCTGCTCTCGTTTCACGCAAGCTCAGAAGAATGAAGATGTTGAGGAGGCCATTGCTCTTTGCCAAGAATCATTGGCGGCTCTGTCTTCACTGCACCCGGACAGGCACTTCAGCTACAAGCGGCTGCAGGAGGCCTATTTGTCTCGTTACCGGATTCTACACGATGCTGCTGATTTGTCACTTGCAATAGAGAACTTCAGACTCGCATCAAGACATTCTACTCAAGGGTTCCCACAACGCATCATTGGCGCATTCAATTGGACCGTTGCAACTGAGCGGCATGGTCATGGATCCGCGCTGGAAGCCTACTCGACATTTTTCGAGCTTCTGGATGCTCATTTAGCCACACGGTCTTCGGCAACTTCACGGCGCGAAGCTGCCGCTGCCTTCCATTACGCTAGAACGCTCCCAGCAGATGCAGCATCATGTGCCATCCGCTGTGACAATCTACCACATGCAGTTGAGCTTGTGGAGCAGGGCCGTGGCCAGCAATGGTCGCTGGCCTCCCGACTCAGGACTCCAGTTGAAGCCCTTGAGTCAACGAATCCGAAACTGGCGCATAATTATTTGGAGCTGAGCAAGCTCGTTTCGAGTGCGGCCCAGAGTTCTGCGACAATCACCGACAGAGCTGCTGCTGATCGGGCAGCAATGGAGTACAGGAAACTTACAAGGCAATGGGAAGCTGCGGTTGCTCAAATACGTGATCTTCCGGCATTTTCGCGGTTCCTGCTCCCACCTCTGTATGCAGACCTGCAAGCGGCAGCGCGCCAGGGCCCGGTCATCATCCTCATTGCGAGCCAATACTCATGCAGCGCCATCATCGTCCCGACGTCAGGAGACCCCCATCATGTTCCCTTGCCATCTGTCACTCTCGCAGATCTGACCAATCTCAAGAACCGCTTCGCCAGGGCAATACGACACGCATCTACCATTGGCCCCAAAGTGCCGCGAAATGATCTAATAGTCCTTTTGCGGACTGTATGGGATGAGATCATGCTACCCATCATCAACGTCCTCCGGCATAACCTGAAACTAAAATACTGTCGAATCTGGCTGTGTCCAACTGCAGCCTTCACATCTATTCCTCTCCACGCAGCTCACCCGTTTCGAACCGACCCAGATGGCTCTAGGGAGAAATGCCTGGAGGATCTCTACATCTGCTCTTACACGCCCACACTTTCGGCTCTGGTCAGATCCAGACAGATGATGAAGAAGCGCGTCACTCCATCCTTCGTGACAATCGGACAAGGTCAACCGGGTGCAGGAAAAAGCAAGGCGCTCTTGGCCGTCGACAGCGAGCTCGAGCTTGTCCATAAGCTCGTCCCTGCGACGGCCAAACGCACTAGTATTTCTGGCGACGCAGCCACACGAGCAGGTGCGCTCGAAGCTTTGGAGCAGAACACCTGGGTGCACCTAGCTTGTCATGGCAAGCAGGACCCAAAGCAGCCTTACAATTCGCATTTCGTCATGAGAGACGAAGATCTGACGCTGCTCGATATCATGGAAAGAGATATTCCACACGCCGAGTTCGCGTTCTTATCAGCGTGTCATACCGCTGTCGGGGATGAGGAGACTCCCGACGAAGTAATTCACCTCGCAGCTGGTCTTCAGTTTTCGGGGTTCAAGAGCGTCATTGGGACGCTGTGGCAGGTCGACGACTCTGTCGCCAAACACGTCGTCAAAGCCTTTTATGAGAATATGTTCAAAGATTTGAAGGATGGAGGTGTGATGGACTGTACGAAGGCGGCCTGGGCACTGAACCGTGCCACGCACGCCGTGAAGACGAAAGTTCCGCTGGAGCAGAGGATGGTTTTCGTCCATATCGGTGTGTAGTTCTACTACGTCGTATTGCTGTCGTGTGGTACATATTCACAAGTTGTTGATTTGCGATCCTCATCAAACTCGACGAGGAGACGATGGTGGTGTTCACCCGACCAACGATTGAGTCTGAGTGTATTTCTGTCTGTCCAGCTCGCAAAGTTCACTATCTCACTTGACATATGATATCAGGAGTAGAAAATGCAGGGCGATGTCTTTGAAATGTAAGTGTGGTCATAAGTGTTTACGGAGAGATTGTCCATCATTATGCCATTGAAACCTACCTGTCGCACACCTTGATGTACACCAAGGGCCCAATCTCGAGTCGTGTATCAGCTGAATATACCATCTGCAGACAGACCTATTCAAATTTAAGATGAATTGAGTGTATTATGCTCGAATACTAATCGTCGTTCGCTCAGTCGCCGCCGCTCCCAGGGTAAACTGTACTCCTATGGATATTACGTAGGCCAACCAACCAAATTCAGTTCACAAGTTGTACTGGCAGGTGATGCGCCACTTGATGGAAAATCAGAGTTAGTGCCAGAAGCATTCAATCATCTCTGAGAACATAACCATGAGCGTTACCCTATATGGACGCAAAACGCACCTAGTAATGCCAGTCCTTCGCTTGAAGCTTGCCTTTAAGTTTGAAACAATATCAATTCCTGAAACGCCATCAGTCCTCGGAACGCTCACATTGCCACAAGGAAGGCTCAATCTTTTTTGGACCAACCCTAGCTGTTTTAGACGCACGCTTCTCGAGATAAGCCGGCTTTGATATGCGCCTGATGATGATTTCTGAGGTAAGCTAACGCGTTCTCGTCTGTGAGAAGTAGAGATATCCAAGGGAGAATGGTCAGTGGTAATAAAGAGGATCATAGTCTTCATTTGACTGATGACTGATCTGATGGATACCGTTGGAGCAAAGAACGTTCCGTTGAACCCGGAAATGTATCATGATGCGACCAATCGCGATCCCAAGATAGTGCGTCGTTATCTTCCTGTCGATGAACAGATTCAGATTAGTCGACGTGGTCGAGTCGGTGGAGTAAATTATGTGCTTACCTCGTAGTTGACCCAGTCCCCTTGGCTTGAGTCACGACGTTTCGAAGGCCTGTCATCTGGCAGCCGAGTAAGCCCTCTCCTCCCAAGTTCTGTTCAACGATGAATGGAAACGATGGGTATTTTAAACATCACGTCGGAGTGCCTGGTGTGCCCTACGATCAAGATCGATGTCATTGTTTTACTCAGAATCGCCTCTATAAACATCGGTCTTCAAGTTGTAGCTCATGCCTCCTGAGTCACGAGATAAGGCTGTTCAAGTTGGGGTAGTCATTCCACATGAATGAGTCGAAAGAGCTCATTCGTTGTCTCTGTTTGCGCAAACATCGTAGTTTCTCAGAGAAGAGTGAAAGTTCGTGGACTGGTAACCAGTTTGCCTGGGTGGATTTGGACGGATGTTGAATTCTTGTCAAAACGCAAAGGTGTGCTGCTGCTACGGTATGCGCAAAGTAGTGTTCAACCGGTCAAGTTGTGATCGATTGATCAACCAGACATGTGCAAGCGTGAGCTGTTTGCAACTGCTTAAGTAAGACAAATTTGAAATTGCAGGCAAACTCCGCTGCAAACAACTCGTTCAACGTTCTAGTACTTTCAGTGCTTATAAATATGCGTCGAGACACTGCACGCGGTGTCCAATCAGCGTCAGATGACGCATCGATGACGCGTTGATGATGCAGCCATGCTGGCGTTTAACGTTGACCTTGAGACAGACTCGCTCTCCAGAGCTCCATCTCCAAACCCTAACCGAGCCAAAATCAATCAGGTAGATATCACATTCCCCATAGCATTGCAGTACATATGTTTGACGGTTAGCCCGATCATCACTGACCACTGACGATATTTAGCAGAAGCAAAATTATGTCATCCTATAGTCGCCACGGCTACCATGATGTTACGGACTCTTCTCTGATGCAGCTGCGGGATTAGGCACGAACACTTACTAGTAGTCTTGAGCGACTCCAGCAACCCCGCGTAACGTACGTGACTTTTAGACTCCCAGCTAGCTCTAACTCCATTGAAAAATATCTTTATAGAACGGAATGGTTGGTTGTCGCGTATCCTATGATTCTACGAGACGGACTCGGAATCCAATCGGACCGTGTGGGCGGGACAATGGCTGTTATCTGTCCAGGCTTCTATTACTCGTGATGACGGTCCGGTACTCCACGTGCACCCTCAAGGCGCATCAGCCCAAGGTACCAACAGACTAATAGATATGAAATTGGCTTGCGTTTCACAATCTATAAGGCACATCGAACCGTTGAGGTCATCCCTCAGGCCTTAGACCCCACTATCATCACCCCATTATGGCGTCCGACTCTTCTGACACTGCACCGATCTCACCCTCGAAGGAGCATATTGAGTGCAAAGAACTCGATGTCGACGTAGAATTCGGTGGTATAGAGGCACGAAACAAGCTAGAGCGCAGGTTGTTATTGAAACTCGACCTGCACATGTCAATGCTGGTCCTCATCTATATCCTCAATTTTGTGAGTAACCTCACATCAAGGCACCTGATATATTTCTCATTCTTGTACTAGATCGATCGAAACAATGTTAGGTATGCCCTTGTCATGAATCGCTGATGCATCACTCACAACAGATTAAGTGCGGCACGCACACAGCTCACCGCCGACCTCCATCTCGAGGGTCCACAATATGCGACATTGTTGTCTATCCTCTATGTCGGATATATTATTATGCAGGTCCCCTCCAATATGTTTCTCAATTACATCAAAAAGCCGTCGCTTTATATGCCTGCTTGTATGGTAATTTGGGGGGTCATATCGGCGCTGACTGGAATTACTACAAAGTATGACCGATCATTGATGTCTGACAGATGACCGACCATACTCCTCATAATAGTTTCGTTGGAGCGCTCCTAACGCGATTCTTTCTTGGCTTCATAGAAGCAGCTTTTTTCCCCGGCGCCGTGTTCTTGATTTCGAAGTGGTTCGTTGTTCATCGAGTATTCAGCCGAAGTCCTGAAATTCAATGTACAGGTACAAGAGAACAGAGATAGGTTCCAGATTAGCCATCCTCTATTGGTAAGGGTACTACTATGCTGGTGGATATATCTATTCATTGACAGCACCATTACAGCGGAAACATGATCAGTAACGCCTTCGGAGCTCTCATCGCATCAGGTATTCTTGCTAACATGGACGGCGTCCGTGCACAAGCCGCGTGGAGGTAATTCAATCCAGTTGATTTGTCAAAGGACTCTGTTGAATTTCATTTACAAGGTGGCTTTTCTATATCGAAGGAAGTCTGACTGTCACCGTTGCGATAATGGCTGTCTTTGTTTTGCCGGACTTTCCAACGACAACAAAGTGGCTTACTGATGACGAGCGCCGGCTTGCACTGAAGCGTATGGAGGAGGATGTTGGTGTCGGAGACCAGTTAGAGACTGAGAACGGTGGCTTCGGTCACGGCTTTTACCTCGCCATCGCCGACTGGAAGGTGTGGTGGATTGCAACACTATTGATTGCTCAGATTATAGCGTTATCCTTCACTGGCTATTTCCCTACTCTGACTGCAACACTTGGCTACAACCCAACGGCATCGCTGCTCCTCGTTGCGCCTCCTTGGATATATGCTGCCATTTTTACATTCATGTGGACCAGGTAAGTTGGGATATCGAACAATCTAGGAACTGGTCTGAAGGCCTCCTCAGACACTCTGATAAAACACAAGAAAGGTTCTTTCACATGAGCATTTCGAACCTCATTGGCATAATTGGGTCTCTTATTTCGATATGTACCATGAACACTGCAGCCCGATACTTCTCTCTGTAGGCATATAATGTTAATTTCGGACGTCTCGCTGATAGTGGCCCTCCTCAACAGCTTCCTCATGGCGCAGTCCAATTCAGCAAGTGTCTTGATGACCACGTGGGAGAGTAACACATTTGCGCGACCGCCGTCAAAGCGTGCAGTATGCTTTTCGCTTATCAATGCAGTTCAGCAACTAGGCAGCATCTCAGGGTCGTGAGTAGTTTAATCGATTATTAAGATTTCATTGATGAAATAGATGGCAGGTACGTCTGGCCAACTAATTGGGGCCCTACCTATCGATACTCTTATACCATTGTGATCGCTTGTAACGTTATCGTGATTACGATGACTTGGATTTTCAGACAGCATCTGAAGACATTGAACAAGAAGCTGGAGAGAGAAGAGCAGGAGCAAGGGATCGAAGAAAAAGGATTCCGCTACGTTCTCTGAATGATAGCTTGGTGATCTACGAGTTTAAAGTTTATCTGAAAGAAGGTAACGGGCTCTCGTCTGTGTGAAGCAGAGATATCCGAGGGACAATCATTATGTTCAGTGGTAGCGAAAAGGACCATAGTCTTCATTCCATCGATGACTGATGTGATGAATACAGTTGGAGCAAAGACCATTCTGTTGAACCCGGGAGGATGTGATGTATGTGACTGATCCCGATTCAAAGATAGATAGTGCGTCATCATCTCTCTGTCGATCAACAGAGTCAGATTAGTCGACATGGTCGAGTCGGTGGAGCAAATTATGTACTTACTCCGTAGTTGACCCAGTTTTCTTGACCTGAGTCACGATAGCCCGAGTAAAGCTATCGTCTGGGTAAGCCTCCTCCTCTCAAGTTCTGTCCAACGGTGAATGTTATTTCATCATCACGTTGGGGTGCCTGGTGTGCCCTACGATCTATCAGGTTGATGTTATTGTTTTGCATGGATCATAAACATCGGTATTAAGTTGTCGCCTAGTATGCCTCTGTTTGAGTCGCGAACGCGAAGTGTTAGATAAACCTGTTCAAGTTAGGGTTGTCATACCACGTGGTATGTGTCGAAAAAGCCCATTCGTTGTCTCTGTTTGCGCAAACATGATCGTAGTTTCTCAGAGAAACAGATATGAATGAATATTTGTAGATAGACCAGTAACGCCAGGTGGATTTAGTGAGATGTTGAATTCTTGAATTGCGATGTCAAGATGCAAAGGTAACGCTGCTGCTACCGTATGCGCAATGTAGTCGTCAAATTAGAGCTTGGTGAGCTTCAGTCGCTGTGTTTGAAACTGG